AAATAAAATAAAATACTTAGGAATATATCTAGCCAAGGTGAAAGACCCCTACAAGGAAAACTACAAAACACTGAATAAAGAAATCAAAGACAACACCAACAAATGGAAAGACATCCCATGCTCATGGTTGGGTAGAATCGATATTGTGAAAATGACCATACTGCCAAAAGCAATATACAAATTCAATGCAGTTCTTATGCAAATACCACCATCATTCTTCAGAGAACTAGAAAAAAAATCCTAAAACTCATATGAAACCGAAAAAGAGCTCATATAGCCAATGCAAGACTAAGCAAAAAGAACAAATCTGGAGGTATCACATTAACTGACTTCAAACTATAAGGCCATAGTCACAAAAACAGCATGGTACTGGTATAAAAATAGGCACATAGAGCAATGGAACAGAATAGAGAACCCAGAAATAAAGCCAAATACTTACAGCCAATTGATCTACAACAAAGCAAACAAAAATATAAAGTGGGGGAAAGGACATCTTATTTAAAAAATGGTGCTGGGATAATTGGCAAGGCACATGTAGAAGAACGAAACTGGATCCTCATCTCTAACCTTATACAAAAATCAACTCAAGACGGATAAAGGACTTAAACCTAAGACCTGAAACCATAAAAACTCTAGAAGATAATATTTTAAAAACCCTTCTAGACATTGGCTTAGGCAAAGAGTTCATGACCAAGAACCCCAAAGCAAATGCAACAGAAACAAAGATAAATAGATGGGACTTTAACCAAAAAGCTTCTGCACAGCAAAAGCAACAATCAGCAGAGTAAACAGACAACCCAAAGCATGGGAGAAAATCTTCACAATCTATACATCCAACAAAGGACTAATATCCAGAATCTACAAGGAACCCAAACAAATCAGCAAGAAAAAAACAATCCCATCAAAAAATGGGCTAAGGACATCAATAGGCAATTCTCAAAAGAAGATATACAAATGGCCAACAAACACATAAAAAAATGCTCAACATCACTCATTATCAGGGAAATGCAAATCAAAACCACAATGCAATAACTTACTCCTGCAAGAATGGCCATAATAACAAAATAATAGATGTTGGCATGAATGTCATGAAAAGGGAACACTTTTACACTGCTGGTGGATGAATGTAAACTAGTACAACCACTACGGAAAACAGTGTGGAGATTCCTTAAGGAAATAAAAGTAGAACTACCATTTGATCCAGCAATCCCAATACTGGGTATGTACCCAGAAGAAAATAAATCATTAAATGAAAAAGATACTTACACACATATGTTTATAGCAGCATAATACACAATTGTAAAAATATGAAACCAGCCCAAATGCCCATCAATCAACAGTGGATAAAGAAATTGTGGCATATATACAACATAGACAACTACTCAGCCATTAAAAAGGAACAAAATAATGGCATTTGCAGCAACCTGGATGGAATTGGAGACCATTATTCTAAGTGAAGTAACTCAGGACTGGAAAACCAAACAACGTACGTTCTCACTCATAAGTGGGAGCTAAGCTATGAGGATGCAAGGGTATAGGAATGATACAATAGACTTTGGGGACTTGGGGGGAAAAGATGGGAGCAGGGGTGAGGGATAAAAGACTATAAATTCGGTACAGTGTTCCCTGCTCGGGTTATAGGTGCACCAAAATCTCAAAAATCACCACTAAAGAACTTATTCATGTAACCAAACACTACCTTTTCCCCAAACACCTATTGAGATACATAAAATTTTAAAAGAATGAACTTTATAGTTTAAAATAAGGAAAAAGTTCAGTCTGAGCCTGGGGGTTAAGTCAGAATGTTTAGGCACAAATGCAAGTCAGACTGATGTTAATTTGGTATCCAGTTATTAATAATCAGACAACCCCAATTAGATACCTCAGTGTAAGGACTATAGGAGAACTTAATCATGATGTTTGTCCTGCCTTCAAGAATTGTCCTGCCTTAAAAAGTCACTGTCCTATGACTCAGTTGGAAACAGTTCCTTGAAGCCAGCCAGATTAGTAAAGGATGCTGGGGCCTCTCCTAAAGTAAAAATGTACCTAATAATGTTTTAAAGTCACCATTTGTCTTCATTATCTCTCACTTCAAATTATTCTGTACTGTTTCCAAGGTTACTCTCATATTCCACTGTTCTATAGTACACTTTAAAGATAAAGCTATGTATTTGGATAGCTAAATTTTCCCATCAAATTGCAGTGTATTCTAAGTATCCTGAGTAATATAAGTAATATAGCAAATTTCAGGTCCTATTTTGGTTGCAAGGAGGGTTGCCAAAGAGATGCCCTGTAAATTTGCTGTCTAATAAAGGATATGCCCTGAACAAAAACAACTACCATGTAAGGCAGCAGTATTTAAGGAGCACCATGAACATGGTGTGTGCAGAAGTACCATAGATGTTCAGTACAGTTGTGTGGTAGACAGTCATTCTCTTGGTACAGATCTCCAGGAACCTTTGTAATGTCTTTTCCTAACCCTTTCGCAATAACAAAGGTGTTGACCTCTCCTGCAGTGTGATCTTTTTGGGTTTTATAGAGAGAACAAAAGAAATAAAAACTAGAAGGAAAAAACCATAAAACAAATAGGCGCTCAATATTGGCGGCAAGGATTACACCACTTACTAACTATATGACTTATAAAATGCCACTTAACCTATGTTTGTTTTCTCATGCATAGAATGGGGATATTAACTTAATATTTGTAAAACTCTTAGAACAGTCATATGTAGCAAATGCTACAAGTTTTTGTTCAATTTATATGTGGGTGTGAAATAGGAGTCATCCAAAATTGTTCTCCTGTATCCAACTTTATCTAACCTAGGAGACCTGACATGGATCAGTGATTCTCACTTAGAATTACGTTCAGCTGGGAATAACAAATACCCCTACCCCATCCCCAGTAACAATGAATTCACCAAGATAGAAGGTTTTTGCCCTCACATGTAAATCTCAGCCGTAGGCAATTTTCAAGACTCTATTCCAGTCTTCAGGGAATCAGGTTCCTTCCAGCTTACTTCACTTCCTGGGCAGGTGCTGGTGCGTACAGCATGGGCCGGTTCTGCTCCAGTCTTAGGGTATCACTCCCCATTTTCCTTGGGCTCCACATTTACTTCTCAACTGTAGAGTGGTATATTGAGCACCATGGAGAGCGTGGGTTAGGTTCAGAAAGTTAATCTGCCCAAGGTTACATGGCTGAAATTCAAAGACTTTCTGGTGCCAAGACGCACATACAGTCCACTATTTATGCTTTTTCATAACATACTGTTTCTATCTTCTGCATAGCTGATGCTCAGATTTGCTCTTCAGAACTTTCACAGTCATTGTTTGGAGACAGGTTTGGGGAGGGGGAGGGTCAAGGAAGGGTTTGGTGAGCAGTAAAGCAACATCACAGAACTGTGGTCTGAATGATGGCAAAGAGGTTGAATGGTGTGAATAGATTCAAGAGGTATTAGAGATGAGTAGTAGAAGAGGGTGACAGGTAACATTTAGGTGTCTTGTTTGATACCTGGGTGGTCAGTGATTAATATTATTTACATAATTATGGAACCCTGGAGAAGAGAAAAGCAGATTTAGAATGTGGGAGATATAAAGTGCAGCCTTTGATAACTGCCAAGTGGGGATGGCTAGAGGGCTCTAAACATCAGGGCAGACATGAAAGTGAAATAAGAAGTTATTCTGTAACTATTTCCTGCCTATATTAGCAATTACTATCTGCACCACTCACTCATCATTTAACTAAAACCTGCAGTCTATTAATACCCTTTTGTGGGTAGGTATTTAACCAGACACTTCATCATTTAAAAGTAGAAACCAACCCACCCTGGTGATGTATTTCACAAAGAATATCAGATCAATTACAGGAAGTAATGAACTTATATTTTCTTTGAACATCTTGCATGGAATAGGTGAATCTGTGACATTACGCATGGCTTACACTTTCACCAGTCATCCACATACTAAACACACCTGTTGAAAGAATTCAAACCTGACCACTTGCCTTCCAGCCAGGAAAGGGACTGTAAATATTAGGATATGAAAGAAAGGCAAGGAGCTGTTGTGGCTACAGCCCACAGAAATGAGGTGGAGCCTGTCTTCTCTACCCTCCAGACTAATCCACCAATACTAGACTTCAACACTAAGGAGTCACAGTCCATATCATTCACTTTTCCAAGTGTTTCTCCTTCAGTTACCTATCACTGATGACCTTAAGCCTAGATATCTAATCAGGTGATTTCAACATGGTCTTTATGTTGACTTTATGCCTATCTTTTCCTTAACTCTCCCGGTTACTTATTATCCTGATTTGCTTCATGTTTCCTTGATTTTCTTTACTCTCCTGACTTCTGCTGCCTCACACCATCACCACAGGATACACCTACCATTTCAATATTTGAAGGCACTGCTTCACCTCTGGTTTTTCCTTTATAGCATTCTCCTTTAACATCCATGCCTGACCCTTCTCACTTACACACAATCCAATCCAGTTTTACACCAATGCTAAGGTTTTTAGTCTCCTACCACCTATGTTCTGTTTAGACCATTCTTACTTCATAAGCTGTGTCACTAGTTTGAACTATGGAGTCAGTATCATTCTATGGTTACTATGACATTGCTTGCATCTTAAAAATGGCCGTCTTCAGAGAATTTTTTTTAAGAGGTAGGATTTCATTCTTTAAATGCACAAAAATAGCCAGGCATGGTGGCTCACGCCTGTAATCCCAGCACTTTGGGAGGCCAAGGTGGGCAGATCACGAGGTCAGGAGATCAAGACCATCCTGGCCAACATGGTGAAACCCCGTCTCTACTAAAAATACAAAAGTTAGCTGGACATGGCAGCACGTGCCTGTAATCCCAGCTACTCGGGAGGCTGAGGCAGGAGAATTGCTTGAACCAGGATGTCGGAGGTTGCAGTGAGCCAAGATCGTGCCACTGTACTCCAGCCTGGCCACAGAGCGAGACTGTGTCTCAAAAAATAAATAAATGAACGCACAAAATAGTCAATTGAACAAATAAAGGATTTCCCATGTCTGACACAAAATTTGACATAGAGAAAAGTACTACAGTTCAACATTTTCACAGATAATTTTTAACATTGTTACAATAGTCCTTGAAACTCTATATAAATGTCTGATTTTTAAAAGTATTAATTATTTAATAACTTCATTACATATATCAGATTTACTTCGGGAGGGTACAACAGCATGTACAATTATTTTTCTATGTCTTATTAATGTCTGCACTATGTCCATTTTATGTGCCTTAATCTGACAGATCAGCGTTGTGTTCCAAGTAGAAATGTGCAACAAATCTCCGAAAATCCAAGGGGTCTAGAGAAGCACCTGGGTTACAGGCTCTGTGTAGTTGCCATGCATTGTTCATGGCTACATCAATCATGTAGCTTACCAAAATTGAGTACCATTTCTTGCTTCTTATCCTCACCCTATACTTTGAAATAATTTGATCCATTTTAGCTACACCTTCCTTGCATTCATCATACACTTTTACTATGGATGGTTGACTTATCTGAGGGATTTCTTCATCATCAGCATCACAATAACTTATCTCATTGACTGGTTCTATGCCCACAGCATTGGAGCACAGACTGATAATGCCATCCCCATACCAACGACATAAAATTATCTCATTGTTTTCTTCTACTTGGAAATCAAAATACCCTCTCTTCATTTTTTTCATATGTTCTACATTCATAAGGGGACATTTTTCGGTCCTGTTCTCACGAATTGTTCCTGTTGCCCTCACCCCCTTCTTCTTCAAGGCTGACAACAATTTGATACTTGTAAAGAAGCTATCAAAACACAGGTGATAGGGATACTGACCTCTCTCTAAAAGAACATCAGCAAAGTTCATTACTAGATTTCCACCTAACCCAAGGTCAGGATCCTCATCTACCTTCATAGTTGATTGTTCTTGATAGGGCTCAAACCAAACCAGATATCCCTGTGTGGTTGTACCACACCAAATTTTATATCCAATTCTAACAGGCTTTCCATTCAGGAATTGGTAACTATCAAAGCATTCACACATTGACTTATCAAAGCAATAGTATTCTTCCAGGGGAGCATACAAGAGGAAATTTTTATTCATTTGTTTTATGAGAGGTCTCAACTTTGTAAACTTATCTTTTTGATCTAGGTGGCCATTATCTGCAAAGTGCAGGTTTGAGAAAATCAATTCAAATCTGTCCCTTCTGATTGCATCTCTAACCAGGTTCTGATTGGTGTCAGAGATTTCCCAATACATTCCCCTTCTAGGATGCCTCATAAATCCACTCAAAAGTAGGACACCAAACACACACCTCATTTCCTGAACTGTGACTTCCAAGCTGACATTTTTCTGAGAAGCATAATTATTGGTTTCATTGACAATTAAGTTGAATGTTTCATCATCAAAAAATAATTCAAAAAGCTCTACTGGGTTCAACTTTTCACTCTTGAGATTCAAAAGTCCAGAATCTAGTGCTGACCAGCTTGGAAAGTTGGGTTTAATGTCTCTTTTGGTCCAACTCTTTTCTGGGAAACAAGACACCTTTAACTTCTTTTGAGCAGGCTGGATCTCAGGCTCATTATCTTTTTCCACATCTGAGTCACCAGAGAATGAGAGACCTTGGAGCAGTTCACTCACTCGAGCTTTGTCTTTTCTTCTTCCTTTTCGGGTAATGTCTCCTGCAGCATATTCCAAGGATGAGATGTGCATCCGGGCCCACAAATCACCTGGGTGACGGTCCTTCAGAGTGTTCAAATGTGTAACTGTCCTTTCAGCAGGGATAGGAGTACTACAAGGAATCTGGGGTGCACACTCTCTGGAAAAGAAAAAAAGAACATGTTATAAAAATCCTCAATCATATTCTCTCACACATGATAAATCTGCTGAAGCTTATATCTTTCGTGGCTTGGGGTGGGGAGGAGATACTTACTTATATCTCTTTTGTTTCCATGGGAAGGACTTTGGCTAGATTGAACATTTCTAGCCTCTCTCCACCTCTTACTCACTCCTCAGGATGGAACTAACTCTTGAGCCTGGGAGAAAGAACTGGGTATCCTTGGTACACCCCTCTCTCTGTCCTCTTTAGGAGCAGGATGCAGACATCCCATGCTCCTTGGTGCCCCAAGTTGCATTGAGAAGACCTATGCAGAGGGACATCTGCTACATTCCTCCTCTGCCAGTACAAGCCTATTTAGCTCTGCCTTTAAGCCGTTTTTATCCGGTCTAACTTCTGTCAGTAAGAAACTGAGGTTTCCAGAACCATCTATTTTACTCCTACGACCCTGTCAATTGGTTCTGAACCTGAACACGAAAAAAAGGTCATTATTTACCAGGTCTCCTCACACCTCTCACAGAATTTCTGAATATGGAAGGACTTAGCCCCTGCTAGTTCTATATTCATCTGATGGACATACTACTCTGGGGAAGAACAAATGAAACTCAACTCTCAACTCATTGCACTTGGACTGATTTTTATCAGGTCTACAAGGAAGTAAGCTAAAGTTACAAAGACGAAAAATTTTTTTTTTTTTTTTGAGACAGAATCTAGCTCTGTCACCCAGGCTGGAGTGCAGTGGCATGATTTCAGCTCACTGCCACCTCCGCCTCCCAGGTTCAAGCGATTCTCCTGCCTCAGCCTCCTGAGTAGCTGGGACTACAGGCACGTGCCACCATGCCCAGCTAATTTTTGTATTTTTAGTACAGACAGGGTTTCACTGTGTTGGCCAGGCTGGTCTCAAACTCCTGACCTCGTGATCCACTCACCTTGGCCTCCCAAAGTGCTGGGATTACAAGTGTGAGCCACTGCGCCTGGCTGAAAAGTATTATTTTACACAAACTTTTTAATTTTTAGATATGTGCATTCCTTGATCACACTGAGTCTTTCTACTGTTGACATCTAAACTCTAATAGTTACAGTGCATTAAGCCCAATATTGTGAGGGAAGGAAATGGGAGTGAGAAATGGGAAAAAACAGTGAGCTAAGAAAGTGGGGTGGAGGTGAGGGAGAGGGACTCGAAGCAGGGCAGGGGGCTAGACCTTTGATACTATGGCTAAGCTATTGCACCAAACCTGAAATAGCCTACCTTCAGACTTTTTGTTATATGAATATCTTTATTCTTATAGGCACTGTGAATTACCTGATAGTTGCCTGATAATAAATGTACCTCACAGACACAACAACAGATTCCTATTCTCCAGTTGTATAACTCTGCTCTAAGTTACTGAACATCATTTCTCTTCCTTTAGCGGAGGCTGGCTCAGTCTTCACTAATCTTAATGCAAAATTTCATTTCTCTTCTTAAGCTTTAAGACATTTCTACTTTAGCTGAGATTTAGCTCCCAGTTTCTCTAAGTTGAACAAATGTTAATAAGGAAAATTCATACCCCCTTCTCCGCTCTTTAGCCAAGTATCCCACCTTGCTTCCTCTCTCTTTTCTCAAGTCTCTGAGGACCAAATGGCCTCACCAGAAGCCAACCCTCTGCTTGTGATTTGCTCCCTCTCTTTCTGCAATCCTGAGAAGCCTCGGAATGCTGGGCATTCCCGAGGCTTCTCCACCTTGTTCCATTTCTTCAGAAGTTTCTTGATTTGCATAGGAGTATGTGTTACAAGTTCATTCATTCCCACAACCAGCACTTATGAAGTGCCCACCACTGTCATTCATTTCCACTTCATCAGCTAACTTTCCTTTTGACCTATACCTTGTTCAGGTCTAATGGCGGTTGAAAATACAGGTTAATTTTCCCTTATCTGAAATGCTTGGGGCCAGAAGATTTTTGAATGTTGGATTTTTTCAGATTTTGGAATATTTGCATTATACCAGTTGGGCATCCCTAACCAAAGATCCGAAATCCAAAACGCTCCAATGAGCATTTCCTTTGAGCATCGTGCTGGTGCTCAAAACAGCTCAGATTTTGGAACATTTCAGATTTGGAATGCTCAAGCTGTACCCTGCTTGTCCTCTTCTGCTCTGACATTTCTTTCTTAACTGTCATGGCAGCTTCATCTGTAGCCCTCACTCTTGTTAAATTATCTGCCTTCTGGCTTCTCTATAGCTCCACAGAAATGTAAGGGAGCCCAGGGAAGGGTAATCAAGGACAGACTGGATGAGGATAGGCTTCTTAGAGGGAACTGAGTGTCAACTGAAGGTTTTGTATATTTATTGCATATTGAACATTTTGAATAGGTCACTTTCTTGGCATGAACCTTCTATGACCACAGAAGTGAGTGGCAGTCATCATATCTTATTCCAGGGAAGCAGGCTTTTGACCAATTGGTTTCTCTGATTCCATTCCAGTTTCTTATATCTGTAGGATTTGATTCACTGAGGACCATGGACACTCACCTGTTGGGCTTTCCTGAGGCTTCTCCACTTTGTTCCATTTCTTCAGAAGTTTCTTGCTTTGCATTAAACAATGTATCTTTAGTTACAATTTCTTCAGCTAAAATATAGTATTAATGATTTAAATGTCATCTGTTCTGTTAATTTAAAAAAAAAAAAAAAACAAACTTCCAAGGTAGGGAACAGATGTGCCAAATCAAACAAACAAAAAATCATATTGGTGTTTCAAGGGTGCACAGTTTCAGCAATCCTACAAAATGTGGCATGGGATGGGAAAATGGTAAGAAAGGTTAATTAAGGCAACAAAGCCCAGCTGGACAGAGATCCCAACAGGGCAGAGCACATTTCAAGAAAATTAGGCTGGGTGCTTTGGAAGGCTGAGGTGGGAGGACTGCTTCAGGCCAGGAGTTCAAGCCTGGGTAACAAAGCAAGCCTCCGTGTCTACAGAAAATTACCTGGGTGTAGCCCCAGCTGTTTAGAAGGCTGAAGTGGGAGGACTGCTTGAGCCCAGGAGTTTGAGACTGCAGTGAACTATCATCATGCCACTATGCTCCAGCATGGGCAACAGAGTGAGACCCCATCTCTAAAAAAAACTAAAAAAGTAAAATAAACATGAACCGTAGTGTTCTTAGAGAGTGAAGACGACCTCCTCTGAGGTAAAGACAAGATCAGACAGAGGTGTTCGTGGGGATTCCAAGTATGAAGGGATATCTGAAAGACAAGTTATATGGAATCCTCGATAGAGAAGAAAAAAGGGGAAAAGGATACAAAGGAGTCACTGAAGGAAACAGGGAACTCGAAGGGATGATCAGAGAAGATAACCACAAGAATCAGTAAGCTGATTAGCAACAGAAGAAAATGTGATTGGGAAGGATGCAAGGTGATAAGGCCTAGGAGAAGTCTGGAGGCACAGGCTAGAAGAAGGGAATGGAAGGTTGTGGAAGGAAACGTGGGCTCCCAAGGGCCAAGCCGGGGTGAGTGAAGGGAAAATGAGAGTCCAGACAGGGGTCCAGTCAGAGGCCTGGCCTTACTCATCAGACTGAGGCTTGTAACTGTCTTCTGAGCTGAGTTCCCACAGAGGTTCCTCCGAGCCAGACTCAGATGTGGCCACTTCTCTGTAGCAAGGGCCTGGGCTGTTTCTTCCTCAGTCTTCACCAATGTCTAAAAAGTCAAAAAAAGAAAATAGCCTCTTTGTTTTCACATGGTTAAGGAATCCAGTTGTGAAGGGTTTGAATACCACACTGCAGACCAATAGTTCCAGCCCCTCAGGGCATTAAGTAAATTTGTGGGAATCTTTCTGGTTATAGCAATGAAGTCCACCACCACTCCAAGCCAATGCCATTCAGAGGGTGAGGCCAGAGATGCTAGGCATCTTGCAATATGTGGGACAGTCCCACACTACAAATAATTCTTCCACATCCTGCGGACTTTTGAGTGTTCTCCTGAATCAAACCTACAATCAATATAAATCAGCTGCACTGAAACATAGGAATCCTAAGAGTTTTTATAGGATGATACTGAAAAAAAAATCAAGTGATTCAAGAAAGTTAGAGAAGGAAGCTTACATAGATTAAAGACATTGTCACAAAAATTGACTCACTTAGATTATTCTACACAGTTTTACAGCATTTTCTATGTATTTGGTTGAACAGCACTTCAATATAATATTGCAGTTATAACAAACACAATTAAACTGACTACAAATACATAATGGAGTTTTCAGACTCCTTTAAACAGACTTGGAATCTAATGTAAATGCAGAAATCTCACTAAATTTCATGAACAAAGATTGTTTAAAAACATTTCAAAGCTAGTAATGATATTTAGGCTAGAAAAATCACACACTGAAATTATTTATTTTGGAAACTGTCTGAGATTTTCTATCTCTCTGACACTGTTCCAAAGGGCTACCACATGGTTTCATAAACCTCTTGATTTTCTCTCATTTTCCAATCTACTTTCTCTTTCTTGTTGCCTGAAAAAGGATACAGTGCCAGTCTTTTACAGAATGAATGTCCGTTTTGACAAGGAGGGGGTTTCAAGACAGAAGATATTTTCTCTTTAACTCATCATCACCGTATCCCAAACTACAAACAGATAATTATTTTGATAATAAAAGGCAAAGCCCACCTCATTTAAACATAGGCATACCTCAGAGATATTGCAGGTCCAGACCGCCACAATAAAGCAAGCCACATAAATTGCTTGGCTTTCGAGTGCATGTGAAAGTTATGTTTACACTATAGTATGTAGTCTATTAATTGTAGATAAGCATTATATCTAAAAAAGGTATATATCTTAATTTAAAAATACTTTATTGCTAAAAAATGCTAATAAGCATCTGAGCCTTCAGAGAGTTATAATCTTTTTGCTGGTAGAGGGCCTTCCTGCGATGTTGGAGGCTGCTGACTAGTGTGGTGGTTGCTGAAGGTTTCGGTGGCTGTGGCAATTTCTTAAAATAAGACAACAGTAACGTTGGCCACCTTGATTGACTCTTCTTTCACAAAAGATTTCTGCGTAGCATGCGATGTTGTTTGATAGCATTTTACCCACAGTAGAACATCTTTCAAAATTGTAGTCAATAATCTGCTGCTTTATCAACTAAGTTTATTTAATATTCTAAATCCTTTGTTGTCATTTCAACAATGCTTCACCAGGAGTAGATTCAATTTCAAACCATTTTCTTTGCTCATCCATAAGAAGTAACTTATCTGTTCAAGTTTTATCATGAGATGGTAGCAATTCAGTCACATCTTCAGGTTCCACTTCTAATACCAGTCCTTTCCACCACATCTGCAGCTACATTATCCACTGAAGTCCTAAATCTCTCAAAGACAACCATGAGTGTTGGAACCAATTTCTTCCAAACTCCTGTTAATGTTGGTATTTTTACCTCCTCCCTTGAATCACAAATGTTCTTACTGGCATCTAGAATGATGAATCCTTTTCAGAAGGTTTTTAATTTACTTTGCCCAGATCCATCACTATCTATGGAATCACTATCTATGGCAGCTATAGCCTTACAAAATGTATTTCTCAAAAAGTAAGACTTGAAAGTCAAAATTACTCCTTGATCCATGGGTTACAGAATGTGTATTGTACTGGAAGGCTTGAAAACATTAATTTTCCTTGTACCTGTCCTTCAGAGCTCTTGTGTGACTAGGTGCTCTGTGAATAAGCAGTAATATTTTCAAAGAATTTTTTTTTTAGTACTATGTCTCAAGAGTAGGCTTAAAATATTCAGTAAACTATGCTGTAAACAGATGTGCTATCATCCAGGCTTTGTTGTTCCATTTCTAGAGCACAGGCAGAGTAGGTTTAGCCTAATTCTTATGGACCCTAGGATTTTCAGAATGATAAATGAGCACTGGCTTCAACTTTAAAGTCGCCAACTGCATAAGCCCCTAACAAGTCAGCCTGTCCTTTGAAGCTTTGAAGCCAGGCATTGACTTCTCCTCTCTAGCAATCAAAGTCTTAGATGGCATCTTATTCCAATATAAGGTTGTTTCATCTACACCAAAAATCTGTTGTTTAGTGTAACCATCTCATTAGTGATTTTAGCTAGATTTGAATAACCTGCTGCAGCATCTACATCAGCACTTGTTGCTGATGCATTTTATGGAGATGGCTTCTTCCTTACACCTCATGAACCAACCTCTGCTAGCTTCCAATTCTTCTTCCATAGCTTCCTCACCTCTCTCAGCCTTCACAGAATTGAAGAGAGTAAGAGATGTGTTCCGGATTAGCCTTTGGCTTAAGGCAATGCTGTGTCTGGTGTGATCTTCTATCCAAACCACTCAAACTTTTTCCATATCAGCGAAAAGTTTTTTGCTTTCTTATTATCATCTGTATATTCACCAGCACTTTTCATTTCCTTCAAGAACATTTCCTTTGCATTCACAACTTGCCTGTTTGGCACAAGAGGCCTCCTAGCTTTTGGCCTATCTCAGCTTTCAACATGCCTTCCTTACTATGCTTAATCACTTCTAGCTTTTGATTTAACTAACTGAGACACATGTGACTCTTCTTTTCACTTGAACATATAGAGGTCACTGTAGTAGTAGTATTATAAATGGTTTCATTTCAATATTATTGTGTCTCAGGACATAGCAAGGACCAAGGAAAGGAAAAGAGATGGGGGAACAGCTGGTCAATGGAGCAGTCAGGACACATACAATGTTTATCGATTAGGTTTGCCATCTTAAATGGGCATGGTTTGTGGCACACCAAAACAAATTCAATAGCAACATCAAAAATAACTGATCACAGATCACCATGACAGATATAAAAATAAAGTTTGAAACACTGCAAGAATTACCAAAATGTGACATACAGACACAAAGTAAGCACACGCTGTTAGAAAAAATGGTGCTGACAGACTTGTTCCACACAGAGTCATCACAAACTTTCAATACTGCAAAGCACAATAAAGTGAAACACAATAAAGTGAAACACAATAAAGGAGGTATATCTGTAATATCACACCTCCTTATTTTCTCCCTTTTTATCTGTCCACAATTTGTTTTGTAACTTATATTGCTTTCCTACAGCTCTCGTAACAAAGTACCACAACCTCAATAGCAGAAAACAACAGAATTATATTCTCTCATGGCTCTGGAGGCTAGAAATCCAAAATCAATATATCAGCAGGGCCATGTTATCTTTGAGAGATCTATGGGAGGCCTGGTGCGGTGGTTCATGCCTGTAATCCCAGCACTTTGGGAGGCCAAGGTGGGCGGATCACTAGGTCAGGAGATAAGACCATCCTGGCCAACACGGTGAAACCCTGTCTCTACTAAAAATACAAAAATTAGCTGGGCGTGGTGTGGTGGTGCGTGCCTTTAATCTCAGCTATTTTAGAGCTGAGGCAGGGGAATCGCTTGAACCAGGGAGTCGGAGGTTGCAGTGAGCTGAGATCACGCCACTGCACTCCAGCCTGGCAACAGAGCAAGACTCTGTCTCAAAAAGAAAAAAAAGAAAAGAAAAGAAAAGAAAAGAAAAGAAAAGAAAAGAAAAGAAAAGAAAAGAAAAAGTTCTATGAGATAATTTTCCATGTCTCTCTCCAAGTTTTTAGTGTTTGTCAGTAATTCTTGGTGTTCCTCGGCTTGCAGATGTGTTACACAAATCTTTGCCTCAGTCATTACATGGCATTCTCCCTGTGTGTGTTTTCACTTGGGCATTTTTCTTTCTTTTTTTTTCAACCCTTTGGTAAATTTGCAAATACAGACTTCTCATAAGAATACGCGTCATTAGATTTAGGGCTCATGACATGAATTTTTTTTCGGATTTTTGTGAAGAATGTCATTGGTATTTTGATAGTGATTACACTGAATCTGTAAATTGTTTTGGGAAGTAATTTTAATAATATAAATTCTAATAATTTATATTATTTTAACAATATAAATTCTTCCAATCCATGAGCATGAAATATCTTTCCATTGTTTTTGTATCCTCTTCAATTTGTTCCATGAGAGCTTTAGTTTTCCTTATATGTCTTTCACTCCTTTAGTATTTAAACACTAAATTATAAATTATAAAATACTAAAAAATATTAAATACCTAGGGAATTTAAACACTAAATTTAACTTAATTTGGTGTTTAAATTTTTACTATTTGAATTCCCTAAGTATTTTACATTTTTTGTAGCTATTGTAAATGCGATTATTTTCTTGATTTCTATTTCAGATTGCTCACTATTGGAGTATATAAATGCTACTAATTTTTGAGTGTTGATTTTTTATCCTGCAACTTTACTTAGTTTATCAGCACTAACAGTTTTTTTTGGTGTAGTCTTCAGGTTTTTCTAGGTATAAGATTATATCATCTGCAAACAGACTAACCTGACTTTTTGCTATCCAGTTTGGATGCCATTTATTTCTTTCTCTTGTGTAACTGCTCTGGCCAGGACTTTGGTATTATGTTGAACAACAGTGGTGAGAGTGGGCATCCTTGTCTTGTTCCAGTCCTTAGAGAAAAGGCCTTCAGTTTGATGTTAGCTGTGGGTTTGTCACATATGGCCCTAATTTTGACATATGTTCCTTTTATACCAATTTTGACAAGGGTTTTTATCAAAAAGCAATGAATTTTATCAAATGCTTTTCAGCATCTATTGAAATAATAATATGGTTTTTGTTCCTGATATTAATGTGATATATCACATTTATTGATTGGCATATGTTGAATCATCCTTGCATCCCTGGAGTGAATCCCACTTGATCATGGTGAATGATCTTTTTAATGTGTTGATGAATTCAGTTTGCTTGTGTTTCACTGAGAATTTTTGCACCTATGCTCATCAGTGATATTGGTCTGTAGTTTTCTTTTTATCTTGTATCCTAGTCTGGTTTTAGTGTCAGGGTAATCCTGGCCTCCTAGAATGAATTTGGAAGTAGTACCTCTTCTTCATTTTTTATTTTTTTGAAGAGTTTGAATAGGATTGGTATCAGTTCTTTTTTAAATGTTTAGAATTTGGCAGGGAAGCCAACAGCTCCTGGGCTTTCCTTTGAAAAAGTTTTCTTTGAAAACTTTTTGTTACAGATTCTATCTCGTTACTTGTTATTGGTTTGCTGAGGTTTTCTATTTCTTCATGGTCCAATCTTAGTAGTCGGCATGTATCTAGGAATTTATCCATTTCTTCTAGGTTTTCAAATTTATTGTCATGTAGTTGTTCATAATAGTCTCTAACAGTTCTTTGTATTTCTGAGGTCTCAGCTGTTACGTCTTTTTCATTTCTGATTTTATTCATTTGGGTCTTCTCCTTTTTTGTTTGTCTAGCTAAAGGCTTGATTTTGTTTACCTTTTCGAAAAATCCAACTTCTTGTTTCACTGTTCTTCTGGGTTTTTCTTTTCTTTTTTTTTGTCTCAATTTCAGTTATTTCTGCTCTAATCCTTATTATTTGTTTCCTTCTACTAATTTCGGGTTTGGCCAGTTGTTGCTCTTCTAGTTCCTTGAGGTGTATCATTAGGTTGTTCATTTGATGTATTTTTACTTTTTTAATATAGGTGTTTATTGCTATAAATTTCCTTCTTAGTACTGCTTCTGCTGTATCCCACAAATTTTGTTATGTCACATTTTCTATATTCATTAGTTTCAAGACATTTTTAGATTTCCTTTTTAATTTCTTCCCTGACAAATTAGTTGTTCAGAAGCATGCTATTTAATTTCCATGCGTTTGTGTAGTTTCCAAGGTTTTTCTTGTTATTGCTTTCTAGTTTTATTCCACTGTGATTAGAAAAGATACTTGATATGATTTATAGTTTTAAAAAATTTGTTCAGATTTGTTTGTGGCCTAAGATATGGTTTATTCTTAAGAATGTTCCACGTGCTGATGAAAAGAATGTGCATTCTGTAGCAGTTGAGTGACATGTTCAGTAAATATCAGTTAGGCTTATTAGATCTAGTATGTAGTTTAATTCCACTGTTTCTTTGTTGACTTTCTATCTGGATGATGTGTCAATTACTGAGAATGGGGTAATTAAAATCTCCTACTATTATTGTATCGCAGTCTAGCTCTCCTTTTAGATCTATTAATGTTTTCTTTATATACTGGGGAGCTCTGGTGTTACATGCATAGGTATTTATAATTATTATATACAGCCGGGCACGGTGTCTCATGCCTGTAATCCCAGCACTTTGGGAGGTCAAGGTGGGCAGACTGCTTGGGGCCAGAAGTTCAAGGCCATCCTGGGCAACATGGTAAAAACCCAGGTGTATAAAAAATACAAAGAATTATCCAGGCATGGTGGCACACACCTGTGGTCCCAGCTACTTGGGAGGCTGAGGTGGGAGGATCACTTGAGCTCGGGAGACAGAGGTTGCAGTGAGCTGAGATGATACCACTGCACTCCAGCCTCAGTGAAAGCGAGACCCTATCTCAAACAACAACAACAAAAACCCTCTGTGGCTAAGTGATTTTCTCTTATAGTATGCCTTCATTTGTTGCTATTTTTAGTGTGTTTATTATAGGTTTTTGCATTGCGGTTATCATGAGGCTTACAAAGAAGACCTTTAGATATAATAAGTTATTTTAAAGAGATGACAACTTATCTTAGATCCCAAATACAAGAGTAGAAACAAAGGCAGAAACACACAGAAAAAAATTATATGCTTTAATTCCATTCCTCTAGATTTTGACTTTTTACTGTCTCAATTTATATCTTTATATTACCTATCTCTTGACAGGTTGCTAGCTATTATTGTTTGTTTTGTTTTAAAGATATGGTCTTACTCTGTCTCCTGTCTCCAGGTACAGCGTCAGGGTCTTACCATGTTGCCCAGGCTGGTCTCAAACTCCTTGTCTCAAGTGATCCTCCCACTTCAGCCTCCCAAAGAACTGGGTTTACAGGCATGAGCCACTGTGTCCAGTCCTATTATTGTTTTTGATAGGTATGTCTTGGGACTTCACAGTACAGTTGTGAGTATATTGTATGCTACTATTATAGTAATAAAGTATTCTGGGTTTGTCCATGTACTTAATTTTATCAGTGACTTTTATGCCTTCAAAAGTTTTCTTTTTGCATATTAGTCTTCTTTCCTTTTAGATTAAGAATTATTTAGCATTTCTTGTAAGATGTGTCTGGTGGTAGTGTACTCTCTCAGCTTTTGTTTGTCTAGGAAACGCTTTCTCCACCATAAATGAAAGATAATTCTGTTGGGTACAATATTCGTGAATGTCAGTTTTTTTCTTGGAGTACTTTGAAAACGTCATTCCACCTTTTCCTGGCCTATATGATTGCCATTGAGAAGTCTGTTGCCAGATGAGGTGCAGCGTTTGTTTCTTTTCTCTTGCTGTTTTTAAGATCCTCTCTTTTTCCTTGAGAGTTGAGAGTTTGATTATTATATGCCTTGTAGTAGTCTTAATTGGGATGATTCTGTTCAGTGTTCTCAGATCTTCCTGTACCTGGACATTTATATCTTTCTCAAGTTTTGTGAAGATTTTTGTTATCATTTCTCTATTTTTTTTAATTTATTTTAATTTTTTGAGATGGAGTCTTGCTCTTGTTGCCCAGGCTGGAGTGCAATGGCATGATCTTAGCTCACTGCAACCTCCATCTCCCAGGTTCAAGTGCTTCTCCTGCCTCAGTCTCCCAAGTAGCTGGGATTACAGGTGCCTGCCACCACACCTGGATAATTTTTTTCTTGTATTTTTTGTAGAGACAGGGTTTTGCCATGTTGGCCAGGCTGGTCTCGAACTCCTGACCTCGCGATCCACCCACCTCAGCCTCCCAAAGTGTTGGGATTATAGGTGTGAGACATCGCGCCCGGCCTATTCTTTCTTTTAATAGATACAGGGTCTTGCTGTGTTACTCAGGCTGGTCTCGAACTCCTGGCCTCAAGCAATCCTCCTGCTATGGCCTCCCAAAGTGCTGGGATTACAGGTGAGAGTCACTGCACCTGGCCTATTGTTATTTCTTTGAATAAGCTTTCTATTCTTGCTCTTGCTCAGATCCAAGAGCAGGCTATTTAAAGGATGGCTGCCTCTAACGTTTGGTCCCCTTGCACACACTTGATTCTCCATCATTCCACTTTCTGTCATGAGCTAAAGCAGCATGAGATACTCACCAGACAGGCTGATGATCTTGGACTTCCCAGGTTGCAGAACTTTGAGCTAAACAAACCTCTTTCTAAAATAAATTACCCAGTCTCAGGAATTCTGTTATCAGCAACACAAAATGGACTAAGACAGAGTCTATTTCCAAATCAGGTCACATTCACAGGTACTTGGGGTTAGGATTTTCACATATCTTTTAGAGGCACATAATTCAATTTATAACATCTAAGCCCTACTTCAATTAAGGGCCCCACTTTCTCTGTCTAGTCTTGTATTATCTGACTCAATACTAGTTTCATTCCACTGTCCACCTACACCATTGCCCTTTGATTTTCTTGGACTTCTGATCTTATTCCTCCTTCATTTGAACTTACTAATGATACTTCAGTGCAAACACCTGACTATGTTATTTCCTAGTTATAATCACGTGGAGCACTTGCATTTTGAAACACTACTTTTTTTTTTTTTAATACTTTATGTTCTAGGGTACATGGTAGGTTTGTTACATATGTACACATGTGCCATGTTGGTGTGCTGTACCCATTAACTCGTTATTTACATTAGATATATCTCCTAATGCTATCCCTCCCCCCGCCCCCTATCCCACAACAGGCCCCGGTGTGCGATGCTCCCCTTCCTGTGTCCAAGTGTTCTCATTGTTCAATTCCTACCTACTGAAATGCTACTTTTAAAATAAGTAACTTTTTTGTTTCTACATTATACCATTATATTACATTTAAGGGAATTATGCTGATTTTCAGAATGTGCATGAGTACGTTTTATTTTCTAGACACTTCTTCTCAGGAAGTATTTGTTAATAATAGGAGGCACTGGGTCTGATAGAACTAAAAATCAATTAGAAGCCATAGAAGAGGACTGAGCAAGTGTCTTGAGGAAACTGATGTGGCAGCAATATTAAGAGGACTTAAATGAGAGACTTATTTATTTATTTTTTTGGTAAATGAATGACTAGGAAAATGAATGAACCACTGATAAGGAAAAAAAAAAAAAAAAAACCAGAATCCATTTTGTGAAGAAGATGTTAAGTATTACCTTGGATATATAGAATTTCCATTATTATCACCAAGCATTAATTGCATATGTGCTGAATATAAAGTAGTGTGAGAAAGGGCCCTTGTTCTAAAGCTGGGGAGATAAACCAGAGACTTCAAAAGAGAAAATATCAGTTACTCAACATCAAATGAGTGGAGCACTTTCTGAAACCAGGAGCCTCACTCCACCCCTCACTCCCATGCCTTGAGATTTGGACATGCCTCCTAAACAATGAAATGAGACAATGGCATGTAATCAATACAAGCTCCTTGAATGATGCAACACACTTTGTGATATTCTGTGACAAGGTGAAGGCAGAGGGACTATGCCACCTGAATGGCTCTCGGGATGATGAGTGTGAGCCAAGAGAAGGGCAAGGAACATGGAATGAAGGAGAAAGACCACTACTGACATTCCTACAAGCTTGGGCATCCTACTTACCTGGGACCTGACTGGGTTAAACACAGGCACTGCAGCCTTGTCTCTGGGGCTTTTTTCCTGGAGATGAGCTGATCCGTGGGGAACAGGCCCTGTAGAGGGAGAAGGTAAGAGTCCTAAATGAGACATGATGGCCTTCAGGGTACCCTTCTTGGAGACTCAGCCTTTTCCCCCAAATGTGATGTTTGTGAAACATTCAAGAACTAAGATGTAGATTTTACTGTGTGAGAAAGAGCATCACAACTGCTTTCATTCTGTCAGAAATTCTAAAATTCTACAGCTTTAGGGTCTCTCACGCAAAAAATGGAGTGGGATTTATGAACTCATAAGGTGTTTTATAGTCATTCACTTTTACATAAAGAAAAAATAAAAATCATAGATAAAAATAAAGGGGAGGAAGAAGCTGGTGATAAAGGAAGGATCAAGGAGAGAACACAGAGGCAAAAGAAAGGATGTGGAGAGTAGAAAGATGAGACAGAGGGGAAACAAGAAAGCAGAAGAAAGGAAGATAAAGAGACAGAAAAATAAAGATATTAAAAAAAAGTAGAGAAGAGATGTTAGCCATGAACTAGAAAAACTGTTAGGAGGTACTGATCCCAAAGAACCAACAATAATCAAAACGGCGATGATGACTGCACAATGCCAGCCACTGTGCTGTTACTTTAAAAGATTATTTCCAATCCTCAAAATAATCAAGAAGGTCCAAATTATTGCTGCCAAAATCCTAGGCACACTCAGAAGAATCACAGCTGAGTGCAGAGTACACACAGAGATCAAACACATAATTGTTGACTAATTGAATGGCCTATTAAATGACTTGCCTAGGTCACACAGTTGGCAGTTGGCAGATGGCAGAGTACAAAATTATCAAATGAAGAGCACATGTGGTAATTCTAACCCAAAATATAAAACAGAACATCACTTTTCTTTGCTCTGCTTTTCTTTGCTTCTGTAATGGACCACTATGGAATCTTTTTATTGCTGTTGTTTCATTTCTAGAAGGAATAAAGTTTGCTGGAAAAAAAAAGCCTTGCCCCAATTCACTTTTACTATTATATGTACTTGTCCACAACACATACATACTAAATAAACCAGCTTAAAAAGCACAGTGTAAAATAAAGCAGGTCTTTAAAAGTTTGTCCAGATACAGGGTTAGACAAAAAAATAAAACTTGATGTTGGTCAAAGGGTACAAACTTGCAGTTATAAGATGAATAAGCTCTGAAGACCTATGTACAGAATGGCCACTATAGTTAGTAATAATGTATTGTATATTTGAAATTTCATGAGAGTAGATCTTAGGAATTCTTACCACAGACACATAAAAGGTAACTGTGAGATACGTAAGTTAGCTTGTGGTAATCATTTCACAATGTATACAAACTTGAGGACAAGAAGGCTGTGCAAGTGTCAGTGGCCAGTTCCCAGTGTCCTCGCTAAACTCACTCTAGCACTCACCACTCACTTCTTGGGGGTTCTCTTGAGGAAGCGGTGGAGGTTCACACTTCAGAGTGGTTACTCCAGGCAGGAGCTGGAGGCTCGGACATTCCAAAGAGACTCCTTGATATTCTGTCACCATTGGGCACATGTCTCGTCCCTGAATATAGACAGAGGCCTGGAAACAAAAGATTTATTTTGAAAAGGCATGCATATATGGACTGCATGCTAAGAGCCAGGCACTGTTCTATATGCTGAGGATACAGCAGCAAACAAAGCAGAAAAGATAGGCAAAGGATCCCAGCCCAGAAAAACAAAAACAACAAACACTGGTCAAAGTTTAACGAGGAACAGGATATGTACACCAACTCAAAATGTCTCCCACAGATTACTTAGTAATTACATATGGGGAAATGGTAACTTTCTACTGGAGAAATTTGACAGGTACCACCATAACCTCATCAGTAATGAGACAAATCATCACTACGCACCTCCTGAAGTGATGCACTGAGAACACAACATTACCTCTGTGGTATTCTAGCCAAAATGTGCAGCCTGAATCTGACCACGAGAAATTATAGGACAAACTCAAATTGAGGGATATTCTCCAAAAAAACTAGCTGTACTCTTCAAAAATAACAATGTCATGACAAAGAAAGACAGCAGCTACTCCAGATTCACAAAGACTAGAGATATGGCAACTAACTGCAATATGTGATGCTGGCTCGTATCCTGAATCAGAGGAAAATTTTCATAAAGAACATTATTAGGATAACATGGCAAAATACGAATAAAGACTAAGGTTATATGACAGTATCATAATTTTAATTTCCCTAAACTTGATTTTTGTATTCTGGTTATACAACAGAATGTCCTCACTCTTCAGAAATCCACACTGAATGGCTGGTGCACTGGCTCACGCCTGTAATCCTAGCACTTTAGGAGGCCAAGGCAGCATGATAACTTGAGGCCAGGCGTTCAAGATCAGCCTGGGCAGTACAGCAAGACCCCACCCCCTCTACAAAAAATTAAAGATAAATTAGCCAGGCATGGTGGCACGCACCTGTAGCCTCATCTACTCAGGAGCCTTCCACCATTGCAGTTCAAGACCGCAATGAGGCTATGATTGTACCACTGCACTCCAGCCTGGGCAACAGTGAGGTAAAGGGATATAGTGTTTGCAACTAACTCTCAAATGGTTTGAGGAAAAAAAAAAATACTGCATGTGTGTATGTATGTATGTGTGTGTATACATGTACATATGCATATTGGGGGGAATGCACTTCCTTGCACAAGTGTGTACACAACAATGGGACTTCATGAAACAGATGTTAACAACTGGCAAATCTGGATGAAGAGTTTACAGGAGTTCTTTATTCTTCCAATACTTCTATAAATTAGAAGTTATTTCAAAATAAAAAGTTAAAAATAAACTGATACATGTCCCCCTGTTCTTCTCCCACACCACCACACACATTTTCTTCCCACCTGTTGTCCTGTGTCTCCACTTCCTGTCTCTAGATTCTCCAGCACTGTCACTGCCTCCTCTCCACTCTCCAGAGGATATGTCTTCACACAGGGCCGGAGCTCCTTGGGCAGGATGGTCAGGAACTGCTCCAGCACCAGCAGTTCCATTATCTGTTCCTTGGTGTGCATCTCGGGTCTCAGCCATTGATGACAAAGTTCTCGGAGTTGGGCCAGAGCTTCCCGGGGTCCATGAGCCTCCTGGTAGCTGAACTGCCGAAAGCGCAGGCGGCAAATCTCCTGAGTGTGGGAGCTGCTCTCCTGTGAGTTGCACACCTGCTCCCAGGTGGGATCTTCCTCCTTCACTTTCACAAGGCCATCTTCATTTTCAGGAGCAGAGCATGGCAAAGCTTCATACATGTTGAGTTTAGAGGCTAAAGCTTCACTTAGCTTGGGGGTCTGTGTTCAGAAATAGAGATCTGAGGCATAAGAATTGATCAGCAACACACAAATTCTAAGATCTTCAAAACTGTATGTAATCTACTTATATTTTTGTACCCACTGTAGGTAATGCTCAAAAGCTGAGCCTGCTTGCTTCTATTTATCAGTGAAATGAATCAGAAGTATATTCTGAACTAGTACTAAAGGGTCTGAGTCCAGAGGTAAGGGATGTAGGATATGAAGGAAGAAGCGTTAGCAATAAGAACGCTCAAGTAGCTTGCACTTTAGCTGGGGAGAAGGGATCATTTTACCCATTGAGGAGGCAGATGGCTGCCTTCATGGGCAAATAATACAGTCTCAAAGGTCATCTATATCTGTGTAACTCTCACTGAATATTCCACTTTAAATGTAGGTGTAATAGACTGTTTCCAAAGTCTCCCATCCTCAAATACCTTTTGTGATGAGATTTTGCCACTGTTCTCATCAAGGGGTGGAGTCTATTTTTCCTTCCCTTGAATTTGTTCTGGCCTATGACTTGCTTTGACCAATGGAATATGGCAGAAATGACACTGTAAGAGAGAGAGTGCTGCTGTAGCTCTTGGCTCACTGCCATAAGACTGCCATGCTGTGAGAGGCCCAAGCTAGCTAGACAGAGGTCACGTGGATGAGAACCAAAATGACCAAGCTAAAACCCAGCCGGGCCTAGTGCTCAAATAATTCACCAGCTGAATGCAGCTCTATTAGTAACTCCAGGTGAGACCAGTAGAACTACCCAGTCAACCTGCAGAATCCTGAGGAACAATAAGCTGAGCTTGTTTTCAGCCACTAAGTTTAGAGTTTGATTTTTGATGCAACAACACATAACTGAAACCGTAGAAATGCATCAAGTTCTTTTCTTCCCTCTCTTCGTTTTTTCCTTTGTGATCTCCTTAGTCACAGTTTCAATATATCTCTGTTCCCAAGAAGACTCAAATCTTTGGCTCCAGCTTGCTTTTTGCACTCCAAACCCACATCTTGAAATGCCAGCAGCTGTGGGCTTCTCCTGCACTATAATTTCAACAGATCTCAAACTAAGATCAGAGTTCCTCAAAGCTGCATTCACTCTGTATTTCTCCATTTCTACTGGCATCACCATCATCTTCCATGCATTCAGTCTTTTAAACAGCCTCTATATACAATCAGTGAATCAAGTCAATTCTTAAAAACGCCTCTTGCAGCCATTCTTTCCTTATTATTTTACTATCATTTTCATTCACTGTCACAATAATGTTATGGTATTCCTGCCCAATTCCCCGCTTCTATGGTCACTGGATTAATATTCCCTAAAGCACAATTCTGACCATATTCAACATACCTTACACACACATAAACACATACAAAGTTTTCATTAAACTCGTTGAAGTAAACTCAAACTCCCCAGGATCTAATCTTTACTGGATTTTGCTGATTTGTTTGTCACTCAATAAACATTTGTGGAGCATCTCATTGTTTTCCAGGCATAAAGCTAACTCTGGAATCAAAGACTTAGTTCCTACTTTCAAGAAAGCCATGGTCTTCCCAAATTCCTTATCTCACTGCCATGCTAAGTATTCAATTTTTTTTCCACCCACTCTATACAGTCAGGACCCCCTTCTAAGGGTAAATTCCCAAGGGCCAGCGCAAATGTTCTATATGAAACCTTCCCTGGCCACCCCTAACCCTAACATATAGACAGGAAAAGTAAGCCACACAGGTAGAGATGGGTGTTCCCATGGAAAACCTTCATCTCCTCCATCTCGTATTACAGATCACCCAGCCCATCCCCACCCGGGTTCTTGAGGACAGGAGTTTATCTCTGCATAGACTCTACAAGCCCGGCACGTACCTGGTATTCAACAAATACTGATGGACTTCTTCACGAATGCACGTAAAGCACCTGAGATGCCAGCAGCCAGCACCCTCAGGCGCACCCCAGAATGTATTTTTCTGAGATTACACCCAGCATCTAGCACCGCGCCAGGCACTGAATACCTGCGTGTCTAATTGTTGGTTAATGGACCAAAAGTTCAGGAACGCGCACAACAAAAACGTAGCCGACCTCGTGAAAGGCTCCCGAGGGAGCGCAGAGGCCCGGGGCTGCCCAGTCGAGAGCGCCGGTTTCCCCAGAGCCCAGGCCGTGCTACTGGCGGGCTGGCGGGCTGTTGGGTGTCGCCGGCGCCTCCGGCAGCTGGGCCGGCACAAAAGCTTCTCCACTCGCCGCGCCCGCAGCCGAGCGGCGGAGTCTGGCGGGTTCCTTGCCTCTCTAGGAGCACGGCCGCTCGTCTCTCTGGTGATCCGGGAGGACCCCCACTGCCACCTCCCGCCTCGCCCAGGTCGCTCTCCGCTGCCGGACCTCAGGCCCATCCGGACGGTGCAAGCACGCCCCACATTTATGTACATCATTTCAATTAAAAACCAACAGAGTGGTAAATGTCTGTCTTCGGGGTCATCACTGGTTAGGAGGCGAAACAGATCAATTAAAAGACCATTATAGTAAGCTGTACAAATTATTTTCTTTAAGTATACATAATATACGTACAATAAAAAAGTCAAGTTGCAGAAGGACCATAAAACGAAAAGTGTCCCACTCTTTAGAGTTAACCATTGTATTTTGTGCATATTTATCTAGGACACTACCTGTCACACAGTAGCACGTAATAAACATTTTGTTTAGTGAATAAGCATTTATACATTTTAAAACACTTATGGTATCATAATGTAATTTTGCACCTTAGCTCTTTTCGGTTAAGACAGCTTGGAGATCTTCACAGATCAGCTTATTCTTTAGCAGCTAAGTAATATTGTATGGGTGTTCCGTAATTTACTTAACTATCCTATTGATGCATACTTAGGTTATATTTTTTCTTTAAAAGCCATGCTAGAGGGAACATCATTCAATACCTTTACATTCTTTTAAGAATGTATTTCTAGGATAAATGCCACATATTAGAACTGATCAGCCAAAGGACATATGCATTTAAAATGTTGATATGCAAGTTCCCTATTTGATTTTTAAGGGCACTTCTGTTTAAGAGTAAAAGGAGACTTTAGTAGAAAAATCAGTAAAGGATATGAATGTTACTATACACAAAACAAGGTAACTGACAAATTAACATGTGAAAAGATGTTCAATAGTAAAAATATAAAACACTCTTTTAAAAACAGACCCATTATTTATTCATTTACCCACTGAGTTTTGGCAATTATGAATAAAGCTGCTATAAACATCTGTTTATAAGAAAACAAGAAAAAAGAAAAAGAAAACAAGAAAAAAATGGAAAAAAATGAGCTACCAAGGCATGAAAAGGCATGGAGAATATTTTAGTGCATACTAGAAAGTGAAAGAATCCAATCTGAAAAGCTACATATTGTATGATTTCAGCAACAAGTTGAGTATCCCTTATCTGAAATGCTTGGGGCCAGAAGTGTTTCCAATTTCAGATTTTGGAATATATACATACATTATGAAATATCTTAGGGATGAGGCCCAAGTCTAAACATGAAATTCATTTGTTTCATATATACCTTACTCACATAGAGCTAATTTTATACAGTTTAAATAATTTTGTACATGAAACAAAGTCTTTTTTTTGAGATTGAGTCTTGCTCTGTTGCCCAGACTGGAGTGCAGAGGTACAATTTTGACTCACCGCAACCTCCGCCTCCGGGGTTCAAGCAATTCTCGTGCCTCAGCCTCCTGAGCAGCTGGGACTACAGGTGCGTGCCACCACACCCGGCTAATTTTTATATTTTTAGCAAAGATGGGGTTTAGCCATGTTGGCCAGGCTGGTCTCAAACGCCTCACCTCAGATGAGGAGGCTTGGCCTCCCAAAGTGCTGGAATTACGGGCTTGAGCCGCTGTGCCTGGCCGAAACAGTCTTGACTGCATTTTGTCTATGACATGTCACATGAGGTCAGGCGTGAAATTTTGCACTTGTGGCATCATATTGGTGCTGAAAAGTTTCACATTGTAACGTGTTTTGGATTTTCAGATTGGGGTACTCCACCTGTATACATGACATCCTGGAAAAGGCAACACTATAAAAGACTGTAGAAAGGTCAGTGGTTGCTAGGGGCTGGAGAAAGGGAGGGATGCATAATAGGTAAGACAGAGAGGATTTTTAGGGCAATGAAACTACAATGGTGGACACATTATTATGTATTTGTCCAGACCCATAAGATGTACAATACCAAGAGTGAACCCTAATGTAAACTGTGGTCTTTGGGTGATAATATGTCAATGTAGGTTCATCAATTGTAACAAATGTCACCCTGGGATGGGATGTTGATAATAGGGGAGGGTATACATGAATGGGAGCAGTGGGTATATGAGAAATTTTTGTATCTTTCTCTCAATTTTGCTGAGAACTTAAAACTGCTCTAAAAAGTAGTCTATTAAAAAAAGCAATCCATTTTGTATGTATCAGTTGTCAAATATTCAAAAGAATAATTCCCAGAATTTGGGTATAGAAAATTGGGCATTATCACAGGCTGCTAACAAGGTATCCAAATTAGTATAACTTTTCTGGAGGGCATTCTGGCAAATACATCAAAAGCCTTAGAAAATATGCCTACTTTCTGCCTCATTGATACTCATTATGGGAACTGAACAAAGAAAAAAATTTTGTAAGTAGGCAAAGTTGTATTTCCAAGAATGTTCACTGAAAAATTGTTTATGGTGATCAAAGTGTAAATGACATAAATGATTAACACTGGAGACATATACCACAGAATATTGCACAGCTTATATGGAAAATTACCTTCCACGAAGACTTTTAATGATTAGCATGTCTTATTCGGGGATTTGTTTGAAACCTTTATTAGAAGGAAACAGTATTCTATGGACTCCCAAGACCAGGATATATATGGATTGCAGAGGCTGAGGGCTGAAGTTGCCACACCTGATTCATGGGATTCCCACTTCAGGAGTCCGCTTCATTTTTTGTTTCTCAGTTTGTCTCGATTTGGTTTGGTTTTTATGTGGCCATAAAAATTGTTCCAGTGTGTGCTTGTGTCCTCTATTTTTCTATGTATATTTTAGACAGGGTCCTGTTCTGTTGCCCAGGCTAGACTGCAGTGGTGCAATCATGGTTCACTGCAGCCTTGACCTCCCGGACTTGAATAAGCCTCCCATCTCTGCCTCCCAAGTAGCTAGGACTACAGGTGTGCACCACCAACCTAATTTTTTTCTTATTTGTAGAGATGGGGTTTCGTCATGTTGCCCAGGCTGGTCTCCAACTCCTGGGTCCAAGTGATCCTCCCATCCGGGCCTCTCAATGTGTTGGGATTACAGGAATGAGCTACTGCACCTAGCCTCCAACTCTATATTACTTTTGGGTTCATATGCCTAATAAACATTAATCAGAATCTGTGATCCAATGTCAAATTCCTATAGGCATCTAAAGCCTGGCTTGAGGGTCCCTTCCTGATCCAATCATCAGTGGTGGGGGACAGGTCACATGGCAGGCTGCACAGTCAGGATTATGGCAGGAGTGGATTAGAATGGGGTGTGAGGATAGGTAAATTGACTATCCTGTCTGTTACACATAAAAATTGTTCATGACATAAAGTCCAGTGAGAAAAGTCAATTGTTTATATGTGAAAAAGATCAGTTATCTACAAATCTACATTAAGAGGTTATATCTGTACCATGAACAAGATGATTTGCTTTCTTTACATTTTTCAAGTTTTTAAAACAATGGATATGAACTTCTATCAGGTATAAATTAATAATTGATGAAGATATTAATACAGACAATTAGGGTTATTTTTTCCCTTTCCTATTTTTCCATACTACTTTTAATGGCAAACTACATAGTAACTTTATCAGTTTTTTAAACAAGTGACTGAGTGGGAAATGGAGACACAGCGACTTCCCACTTCACTGTATATTTGGATATTACAGGATACTACTCAAACAGAAAAGCCTGATCAGTAGAAAATATTGCTGCAATACATCCCTCCTAGGTTCCTGTCCTCTGAATAGGGATTTTAAATTTACCTTTCAGGGTATCTTACACTGCAGGCAAAACCTTGAGATCTGTTATAACATTTGCCCTTTGTTCAATGTTTCTATAACTTTTTGCAATAAAGTAGTAAGACATTATTAATTAAATATACCTCCAGTTGACATTTATGCCCATGTGGATATGGGTCTGACTCAAGGGAAATAACGAGAACATCATTTCCTTTGGACCTATAAGGAAGAATTAAGTTGTGTAAGGTGTCAATACATTTAGAACGTTTACATCTGTTCTACAAAATCATCATGGAGAAAGCCAATATACGTCTTCCAGATAATTGTGAGGGAAAGTACTTCACACTTTGAATCTTTTCATTTTCATCATAATAATATATTCTATGTACTTTCTTTCTTAAACTGAACTGAATCAAATAGATTTAAACTATGAGATGGTGCTAAATGTTCAGATACTTATCTTAACATAGTCCTCAAAATACTGTGGGGAAAATTCCAGACATCAAGTTAACTTTACTTATAAAGGCAGAATAAAATATACATAGCTTTCTGGCTTCCTAAGCAACACACTACAACTGATTTTACATGAAATCTTTTAGCGTCTCAAAAAGTTATAGCTGAAGGCTGGGTGCTGTGGCTCACGCGTGTAATCCCAGCACTTTGGGATGCTGAGGTGGGTGGATCACCTGAGGTCAGGGGTTCAAGAACAGCCTGACCAACATGGTGAAACCCCATCACTACTAAAAATACAAAATTAGCTGGGCGTGGTGGCGCATGCCTGTAATCTCAGCTACTTGGGAGGCTGAGGCAGGAGAACTGTTTGAACCCAGGAAGGGAAGGTTGCAGTGAGCCGAGATCGCGTCATTGCACTCCAGCCTGGACAATGAGAGCAAAACTCTGAAAAAAAAAAAAGAAAAAAGAAGAAGCTATAGCTGCTTCTATGACAGATTTGTTTTCTTTTCCCTTCAAGAAATTGTATTGATTGTTGCTTTTGGTCAGCTTAAGTCTTCCTTTTATCCTTAGTAATGTAGTAATGGAAGCCTAATTTTCAGCTGGGCACTCTGCAATCCAGAATAAGACACGCTTTCCAGCCTTCTTTGTCTAGGTTTTTGCCTATGACATACTTGCTAAGTTATTTTTGAAGGCTGCTCAAAAGGAGGTAACTGAACTGAGAGGAGCCTCTTTCTATTCCTCCGCCTTTTGTCCACATTTTACATGTGATAACTGGAGCTTCAGCAGCCATCAAGGATGGACTAATTATCTCCAGCCCTTTTCTATTAGAGAGAAAAATAAAACTTGTATGAAGTCACTCATGCCTTGTTTTTAAACTATATGCAGCTGAATCCAGTCCCAATCACTACATGAGGTTTCACTGATCTTTTCACACTGGAAGACCGAAAAGTCTTCTCCTGAAAGGAATACCCTCTGCAGCTACTAACAATTAGTAGGTGGTGTTTATCACTCTGGTGATATGTTTTGGAGTGGACACCCCTAATTTTAATATTCTTCATCTGTAACATTCTGGTATTCACAATATAAAGATCATGGTCTCCTCTCCAAGCTGACTTTATTGTTCAACTTCCAAAGTATTCCAGAACAAGCAACATTTCAAAATTGCATCATCAATATTAAAGGGCAAAAGTCCAATTTCTTTCATCAGACATTTACTGAATAGTGTCTATGCAGCAGCCACTAGACTGGCACTGGAGTTATCAAGTCAGACAGTTGCTATTCAGATTAATTCAGCAAGGTGCATTCAAATTACTCATGAAATCTCTTTCAAAGTCTAAAACGCTGACTTATAACTTGAATCTTGACATAATGCAGTGGGGATGGGGAAGTGGTAAAATTACATGAAGCTAACCCTGAAGGCAAGTTCTAAAGTTCACCAGCGAAAAATATCTTTGCTTTTGAAAATGCTTCCACTGGGGAAGGAAGGGGTGAGGCCAGTGGGAGGAATGAGGTGAAGCCACTGGGGGAAAATGTTCACCATTAACCTGTACCTTTGAGAGTAGTCTCAAGGTGCAAACATCATCAGTTTTATTTTATAGGAGTAAGTTGCCATAGCAAATGCAAAAATATCAATCTTCTCTTGCTCTGCTTAAGCCTGCAAATCTGTGGGCACTGGATTCACTGCTGACTTCAAAACCCTTACTCAGTCATGAAGCTCTCTGTTGCTTAGAGTATATAATCATGCAGTTATGTTAAAAGCTCTGAGATGTCCTGCAGTGAAGAATGCTGATTAACTTTGATCCTATCATATCATCTAGGATGAAATTATTGGGGTCCAAAGCTGACTTCAAGGAAAGCAAAGGAGAAGGAATAGAGGCAGGGAGCCCCCAAGAATTTTCTGATGCCACAGTGGGCTATGGTGACTTTTCCTAAAGTGCTGTTTGATAGTCAATGTGCCCTCTCTGACGTTCTACAAGGAGAGAACGCCTCATCAAGCCAGTTTGTCTTTGTGGTGATATCTCTGATGTTGAAAAAGACCTGACCTTTGCCTGAAGGCTTCTCCACATTCACTACACTGATAGGGTTTTTCTTCATTGTGGATTCTTACATGCTGAGCAAGGTGTGAGTTTAGTCGGAAGGCTTTCTGGCATATGTTACACTTGAAAGGTTTTTCTCCAGTATGAATTCTGTGGTGTCGAATAAGGTCTGAGGTCAAACTGAAAGCTTTTCCACACTCATTACATTGATGGTTTTTGGAGTGACTGTGAATTCTCTGATGGTGGGTGAGGAGTAGGGCCTGACTAAAGGTTTTTCCACACTCCTTGCACTCACAGGGCTCCTCCTGGCTGTGAATTCTCTGGTGTCGATTAAGGTGAGAGCTGCGCCTAAAATTTTTTCCACAATGGATACATAGATAAGGTTTCTCTCCAGTATGAATTCTGAGATGTTCCAAAAGGCCTGCATTCTGGCTAAAGACTTTGCCACACTCGTTGCACTGATAAGGCTTCTCACCAAGATGGATTTTCTGATGTCTGACGAGGTGTGAACTCCTCTGAAAGGCTTTCCCACACTCATGACACTGATGACCTTTCTCTCTAGAGAGGACTTTATGTCCTGTAAGACTGGAACTCTGACACACATCAGACTCGCAGAGTTTCTTTCCCGTGTGCGTACTTGCATGTTCAATCAGGTCTGAGTGCTGGAGGAATCCCTGCCCACATTCTGAGCATTTATACTCAGTCTCCTCTTTGGGCTTGGCCTGCTGCCTTTCCAAGTTAGAGCCCTCATTATGAGCCTCCATGGGTTCAGATATTTTCCCAGATGACTCTACTCTTCCACAAGAGTCTGTTACTACAAGAAGCTTCCCATTCTCAATCCTTGTCTCCTCACCTGCAATATTAAATATATACCACCAATTACTTGTCTTTTGATGCTTGGGGAAAGGAATCTGCAACTAGAAGGAAAAAAAACTTAATGAAGCCATGTGTGCAAAGTGAAAACACTGTGGATGCTTGTGATTGTATAAAAGAGTTACAGAATGGTACACAAGACATTGTTAACTATGACTGCCTTTGGGGAAAGATGGGGAATTCTGGTGGGAGGTAACTTATTTTAAATAGTTTAAATTTTATCATGTGATACCACACACAGAGTAGCTAGCAAGCAAGCAAATAAACTGTCTAAAAGGGCATGCCTGTACAGTCTTGAAGATAACATGTCACATGGAAAATAAAAAAGGTAGGTTAATTGAGACCCCCAGGGCCCATAAGAAAGGGACAGCATTTTAACTGAAAATGAAGAAATGTAAATGTGGTGCCAATTTTATCACTAACTGTGTAATCTTAAAAGTAAGGTAAATTATCTGGGCTCTGTGTCCTCATCAATAAAGAAAGAATATTGCACCATAAGACTGTGACAATAACATGAAGTTCACAAAAATGCCTTCGGCTTTCCTAATCTCCTTGGACAACAGTAACTGCTCTCCTGTGTGGTTCAACAGAGTTTTTATCTCAACGCTGTGATAATTTATTCATGTCTATCTCTCTCCCTGCACCCCTGATGCACAATGCCCCAAGAGACTGTAAGCACATGCAGAGCAGACTTTGTTTTCTCTAGCACAGAGCCTGGTATGGAACAGACATTAAACAAATGTTCACTAAATAAATGGCCTGTGTCCTAAGGGTGAAATTAAATGAAAATAGAGAAAACTTAAGCTCAGATAGATACACAAGCAGATGGGTAAGAAGAATGTCAAGTTTTTTGTTTTGTTTCATCTTATATTTTTATTTACCAGTTTTTCTTGTAGCTAAGGATAACTCTTTAAAGGCTAGGAGCATGACTGGGGATGCAAAGTCAGAATGAGAGAGTAAAAGGAAAGCTGGATGGAGAAAATAGAAGAGACTCTAAGCAGCACTAATAACAAACAAAGGAGGGTTAATCAGTGTGAGCAAGTTAATTCAGCAGATAATTAAAAAGGAGAGAGTAGATGACAGCCAAAAGGAAAAGTGAAAGTGAAGGGATTAGTAAGGAGATATCAGAGAAAGGAAGGTCACAGGTGAGGAGTGAAGAAATTAAATAAAGTAATAATGTACTGTGTACAAAGACCCTCTACGACAGAATGAAGTATTCAGTCCTACATGGGGGCAGGGGGCAGGAGTGAGAGATTAAGGGAAAGGAATAAGACTCTTCCAGTAATGACATAATCACATATATAACTTAAAAAAAGCAAGAGAGGATAAAACCAAAAAAACCCTGAATTTTGAATATAAAATAACATTTTCAACAGATCCAGGGCATAAGGAACATTTTCAAGAGTCTACTGACATTACATTCACTTTTTTTGAGACATGGCCTTGCTCTGTTGCCAAGGCTGGAGTACAGTAGTGCAATCACATAGCTCACTGCAGTCCTGAACTCCTGGGCTCAAGCAATCCTCTTGCCTCAGCCTCCCAAGTGGCTAGGACTACAGCTGCATGCCACCACGCCTAGCTAATTATTTATTTATTTATTTATTTTTTGTAGAGACGGGGTTTCACTATGTTTCCCAGGCTGGTCTCAAACATCTGGCTTCAAGCAATCCTCCCACTTTGACTTCCCAAAGTACTGGGATTACAAGTATGAACCACAATGGCAGCCACATTTACTTTTTGTATTTAAACTATATACCCATCACTGATTACATGGTACAAATTCATTTCTACAAGGCTATTGAGAAAAGGTAGGCCCCTTTCTTTCAGCTACTTTATTCAGAATGCTCCCAGAAGAAAGGTAACTTTGAAGGTGACTTGGAAATTGAACAGAGGAATAGGTAGCATGCAAAGCATGGTTTTAGATATGAAACCAGCCATTCATCAAATAGACATTTATTGAGGGTCTACGCTAGGCCAGGGACTGTAGCTGACTCAGGAAACAAAACAAAACCCTTCCCTTTTAGTCTGGCAAGAGAAAAAGAGAAGCAAACCAGAAACTACAATATAATGTAATCAGTCCTATGACAGAAAAAAAAGAAGAAGAAATGAAAAAATGTAAGGAGCAAAAATTAGGAAGAAGAATTTCAGTGACAAAGAAAATAAAGGAGGCTGAACGAGGTGGCTTGCACCTATAATGCCAGGACTGTGAGAGGCCCAAATGGGAGAAATACTTAAGACCCGGAGTGCGAGACCAGCCAGCGCAACATAGGGAGACCCTGTCTCTACAAATAATTATAATAAAAAGCCAGGTGTGGTGGTACACACACCTGTAGTCCCAGCTACTTGGAAGGCTGAGGTGAGAGGATCACTTGAGACTGGAAGGTCAAGGTTATAGTGAGCTATGACTGTACCATTGCACTCCAGCCTGAAGACACAGCAAGACCCTGTCTCAATAGAAAAACAACAACAAAAAAGAAAATATAGAAAAAAAAAATCCAGGTGACATTTAGAAATGAAAGATAGTGGCCATTTACAATAATTTGAAGGAAATTTTTTTAAAATGGCTTTCTTTGCCTTGATGAAGAAACGAGCACTACTTGTTTTTTTTTTTTTTTTTGAGACAGAGTCTCGCTGTGTCACCCAGGCTGAAGTGCACTGGTGTGATTTCGGCTCACTGCAACATCCGCCTCCTCGGTTCAAGCAATTCTCTGCCTCAGCCTCCCAAGTAGCTGGGATTACAGGCACCTGCCACCACACCTGGCTGATTTTTGTATTTTTAATAGAGACGGGGTTTCACCGTCTCTATTAAAGACACAGGCTGGTCTTGAACTCCTGACCTTGTAATCCACCTGCCTTGGCTTCCCAAAGTGCTGGGTTTACAGGCAAGAGCCACCATGCCTGGCCACTACTTGTTTTTTTTAAGAGATGTTGCCCAGACTGAAGTGCAGTGACACAATCATTGCTCACTGCAGCCTTGAACTGGGCTCAAGCCATCCTTCTCCCTTAGCTTCCCAAGTAGCTGGCCTAGCACTACTTTTTTTATTCACCCCTACAGTAAGAGGAAGAAGAGCAAAGTGAAGGTCCAGGTTCCCTTTGTACCCTTTCCTTGCTATTTTGTTCAGCTAAAATATATGGGGTGATAGACATCTCTTATCTCTTGATAGTGTTCTGATTAGACCATAATTATTTCACATTTGTGAAAACTCGTTGACCTGTACATCTAAAAAGAGTGAATTTTACTACATGTAAATTATGCTTCAGTAAACCTAACTCAAAACAAAAGCAAAAAACAAAAGACAAGGGTGCTACGCAGAACCTCAGAGGGAAAGGCACAGTCCACCACATCTCACACACAGCAGATGCAATCCAGTTCTTACCCTTCTCTTTCTCAGGCTTTGTAACTTCACACTCAGGCCGAACCTGCTGTTCCTGCACTCCTCTCAGAGGGGCCATCTCCTCCACAAGTATTTTTTGTTCCTTTGCCTGGTCTGGATCCTAGGGACAATTAGGTATATGGAGGCATAATTAGATACAGGTGGGTTTAGGAAACTGCTGTTCAGAAAAACACCTACATGTTAAAAAAGAGAACAAAGAGAAACCCCAGAGGGGCAAAGAAAAGAAGATGGGGAATCTGGCACACATTGTTTTCTCCCAGCAAGGGCCAGGTAAGGTTGAGGTAAGACCTATAGAAATGAACAGCTAGACTGGAAAAAAACTGAATCAAAGCTTAGTAATTCTCCTTCCGCTGGTGAGCCCACGTCCACCTGTCTGGCCAGAGATCTCAATTTCTGCATTCCTGAAAAAGAGCACATCTGACCCTTACCACCTGTTGTCCTGTTTCTCCAAGATCCAGCTGCAAATCCTCCAGAACCACCACCATGTCCTCCCCGCTCTCTGGGTGATGCTCCTACACCCAGGCCTGGAGCTCCTTACGCAGGATGGTCAGAAACTGCTCCAGCACCAGCAGCTCCAGGATCTGCTCCTTGGTATGGGTCGCAGGCTGTAGCCACTGTTGACAGAGCTCCCGGAGCCGACTTAGTGCTTCTCGAGGTCCTGTGGTCTCTTCATAACGCAACTGCCTGAATTGTTTGCACAATGGCTCCTGTCCAAGGCCTTTACTGTTTCCTTGCAGCTTGAATCCCTGTTCCCAAGTAGAGTAGTGATCCTCCCTCACTACCCGAAGCCCCTCCTTCTTCAGATTCAGGGGAGCCAGGGAATGGGCACTCACCAGTGCTGTCGCCATCCCCAGCTTCAGACTGCTCTCCTTGTTTTGGAGAACTTTCTTTGGACTGTATCTTCAGAGACACTCCTAAAAATATAGTAGCAAGAACGATAGAAACAGTAATAGTACTGCTAACAAGAACAGTAACATTTTCTTGGGTTTATACATTTCCTATTATCCATTTTTTCTCTCTGAAACAACCATTTCTAAACATATATACAGAAGGAAAAAACTATCTTACAGAATATCCTCTAATGTAGAAAGAATAATAGATTTGAAAAATCACCATTTTGCAGCCCTCAAAATAACTGAGGCTAGGCACTGTGACTCACACTTTCATTTCAGCACTTTGGGAGGCTGAGGTGGGAAGACTGCTGAAGCCCAGGAGTTTGAGTCCAGCCTGGGCAACATAGTGACACCGGGCATGGTGGCACATGCCTGTAATCCCAGCTACTCGGGAAGCTCAGGAGAGAGAATTGCTTGAGCCCAGGAGTTTGAGTTCAGCCTGGGCAACCATAGCAACCCCAAGACCTGTATTTGAAAAGGAAGAAAAGAGAGAAAATGAAAGAAAGAAAAAGAAAAGAAAAAAGACAAGTGAAAGTCAGACAAGGAAATAGGGAAAGTTTTTTCAGACAGAGAAAAAGACAGCATAAAGCTGTTGGATGTTCAGTGTAGTAGTTAGTTATGGCCGGGAAAACGTTATACGGAGCCAGAATCCTGGGAAACATCTACACGTAAGAAAGAGAAGTGAGATGGAACTGGAAAGGTAGGAGGAGAAAAAAGACAATAGTATCCAGAAGGTCAAGGAGGTCTATTTCTGCAAATGTGGAATGGTGGAAAGACCCTGGGCCTTAGACAGGCCTGGGTTCCAATACAGCCCTGTCACTTACATGCTGTGACCTGGGGCAAGTTACTTATCCTTTCGGACTTAGTTCACTCATTTGTAAAATGAAGAGAATACCTAATTCACAGAAGTTTTGAGGCAAATGAGATAATTCTAAAGAACATGAGGAATTCATTGATTTATAAGGGAAATGATATGAACACAGTGTTCAAGAGTGTGAAATGCTATACGATGGTGGATTAATCTAAGACCTGGCACAGATACTTGATTCAAAAACAAAGATGTCGTTAGTGACCTCTGTGAAGGTAATTTTGGTAGTAAGAATAGCTAGCCTGCTGTAGGAAATGAGAAAATGGAGAGAGTGAGCATAAATGACAAATTTCAAAAAAGTAATACATTGAATGGAACAAGAGAAATAGGGCAGAAACTAGAAAGGGCTAATGTAGAGTATAAATATGTTTGCGACTTCAGTTACTGTCCTTATGCTGATGATTTCCTTATTCTTCAGGTCAGACATCTCAAGTGTCACACTTGAATTTCCTTCTGCCTATTTGGGACCAGGATACCCTACAGAAGCCTCTCAAATCCAACGTGTCAAAAATGAACTCAGACAATTCCCTATCATCCTTTGCGGCAGGCCCTTGGTATGTGGAGATTTAGTATTCTTGACTTTGACTATGCTTGAGTGTCCCTATAGATCAGTGAAATACCATCTGTCAGCTGCTGATACATGCCTTTGAATCAATGTGCATGTGGTAAGTGGCAGAACGGGGGAAGGCTCACTTAATCAGTGGCTTAGCCTTCAAATAGTTTGCTGTTACATATTCCTGAATGTGTACATAGTAACACTTCCCAGCTGATAATTATTTTTCTTAGTCAAAATGAACTTAAACTTTAAAAAGTCAATTCCTAGTATTCTTAATATAAGTAAAAAAGTCCAAGAAAGTGATGATTATCAGTGAAACCCTGTGTCTACTAAAAATACAAAAAATTAGCTGGGCGTGGTGGCACATGCCTGTAGTGCCAGCTACTCGGAGGCTGAGGTAGGAGAATAACTTGAACCCAGGAGGCAGAGGTTGCAGTGAGCCGAGATCACGCCACTGCACTCCAGCCTGGGTGACAGAGTGAGACTCTGTCTCAAAAAAAAGTGATGATTATTAGCCAGAAAATAAAAGGTTGGTATTATAATGGTTAATTTCATGTCTCAACTTACCTGGGCCACAGGGTGCTCAGATATTTGGTCGAACATTATTCTGGATGTTTCCGTGAGGTCGAACATTATTCTGGATGTTTTTGAAATCAGATTAACATTTAAACTGGTAGACTGTAGACTAAAACAGACTGCCCTCCATAATGTTGGTGGGCCTCATCCAAGTAGTTAAAAGTCTGACAAGAACAAAAAGGCTGACTCACCCCTGAGTAAGAGAATTATTCCTGCCTAAAATGCTTCCAACTGAATCATCAGCTTTCTTCCTGCCATCAGACTTGGAACTAAAACACAGCTCTTCCTGAATCTCAAGCCTATGGCCTTCAGACAGGAACTACACCATCAGCTCTCCTGGTTCTCAGGCCTTTGGGCTTGAGCCGGAACTAAACCATTTGCTCTCCTGGGTCTCCAGCTTGAAAACTCACTCTGAAGATACTGGGACTTGCCAGCCTCCATAATGACCTATGCTAATTCCCTATAGTAAATCTCTTTCTAGATCTCTATCTATCTTTACCAATATAGATACCCTAGTTATGCAAATAATGATACAAATACAGGCATTTGTGTGTGTGTGTATATATATATATATAAAATTCATATTACTATTTATGCATATATACCTGTATTTTTATTATTACATCTATAGAGATATCTTACCAATATCAGTATATAAATATATCTATGCCACATACATATATATATACTGATATCTATATCAGTATTGTTATATAAATAAATATGTGGTATGATGTTGATACGTATATATAGAGTACGATGTGTGTGTGTGTGTGTTTTTTTTTTTTTCCTTTGAAACGGAGTCTTCCTCTATTGCCCAGGCTGGAGTGCAGCGGTGCGATCTTGGCTGACTGCAACCTCTGCCTCCCGGGTTCAAGTGATTCTCCTCCCTCAGCCTCCCAAGTAGCTGGAATTACAAATGCCTGCCATGACACCCAGCTAATTTTTGTATTTTTAGCAGAGACAGTGTTTTACCATGTCGGCCAGGCTGGTCTCGAAATCCTGACCTCAAGTGATTCACACTCCTCAGCCTCCCAAAGTACTGGGATTACTGGCCAGGTATGATGCTGAATTAGTGGTGAGTTCATTTCTATAATGTGATTAAATATATCAAACACAATATACAATAATTTGATAAACTGTTTTGGGAGGAGCTCCATCTACCCAGCTATTTGAGCCAGAAAACTGACCATTCCTTCCTCCTTTCATATCTCATGTATCTGATCAATCAAGTTCTATTGATTCTATTGTTTAAATATCTCTCAAATCAATCCACTTCTCATCCCCTTTGCCATCATCTTCTCCTACCCGGACTACTGTGACAAACAGACTGGACTGACACATCAATCTATTTTCCACACACAAACAGTGATCATTCTAAGGAGGATATGAAGTATTATTATATACCTGCTATGCCTGTTACATATAATGGCTGATTATTACCCTTAAGCTTAAGTTCAAAACATTTAATATGGTTTAAATTGTTTTTTGATCTAATGAACTACTTTATTTCCTCAAATCTGCAATACTCCTTCTTGCTCATTGGCCCTTCCACAGCTTATTCCTTCTGCTTGGACCACCCTCCAACCCTCCAATTTTCTTCTTGTTAATGCCCACTCACACTTCATGTCTCAGCATAATAAAACAATGAGCCAGGACAACTATATTACATGTTTCACATATATTAATTATTTAACTCTCACACAACCCTATAAAGAAGATACTATTCCTAATTTCATCGTGCAGAGAAGGAAATTGAGACAGGGAGAGTTGAAGAACTTACACAAGGTATCAAGCTAAACCTCAGATCTTTCCTCCAGTATCTCTTGCACCCACAGGCCCAAAACTTTATATTTGCCTTCTCTCTTACTGTCACACCCTACATCTGACCCAGTAGCAAATATTATTGGCTCTATTTTCAAAGCAGATCAATAATCTGACCACTGGCTCCACCTGAATTACTTGGAATTTAAAAAAATTACTCTTAACTTTTAAATTTTCTTGATTCCATTCTTGCCCACTTACAATCTATTATCATCATGAGTCTCCACGTAAAGATGCTTTAAAACATAAGTCAGATCATGTTTTCTTCTGCTCAAAACTCTCCAAAAACCCTCACCAAGACAAAATTCCTTACATGATACAGTCATCATTTACTCTACACTTTTCCTCTCCATACCCCAATCTCTCTGACATCATTCCCTACAAAGGTCGCCTTTGTTCACTGCTCCAACCACTCTGGTCTCCCCGTTATTCCTCAAATATGCCAAGCAAGCTCCTGCTTTAGGACCTTTGCACTTGCTATTCCCTCTATCTAGAAAGTTCCTGTCCGCAAAAGCCACTTAGATCTTTCCACCCACCTCCTTCAGATTTCTGCTCAAATATTACCTTCTCGGTGACGCCTACATTTAATACTTACTTAAAATTGCGCTCAGTGGATGAAAAATATGCAGCAGCAGGTTGTACTCGGTTAACTAGATCCACAGCTTCATCACTATCACAGGCCCCAGGGCGGACATCTCTGCTACGAACCCCGCCCCCTCGGTCGAGGGAAGGTTCTCTGCACCTGCGGGGAACCAGCTGCTCCCTAGGCCCCTAAGCCTCGGTTCCGCCCCAGCCCGGGGCCCAGCTCCAGGGTCCGCTCACCTGGCCAAGGGGCCTCAGAGGAGCCAAACGCTCTGAAACACCATCTTAGCGCATCACCGAGGGTCAGCTCTAGCTCTTCGGAGCACCTTTTTTCTCCGCTCTAGGAAAGCTGGAGGACCGTGGCTCGATGGTGCCACTGCTCAGGCATAGCCGAAGGAGACTAACATGGGTACCGCCTGCTGAGCATAGCTGGGAGGGTCATTTCGTTGTGAGCTGAGATTGTCGGGTTTTTTTTTTTTAGTTCTTTCTCATTTTAAAGCCAATGTTTATTTTATTCATGTAAAAACAGGCCAGCTCCGTTGAGTGATACCACAAACAACCAATATTTTCACTTTGCTCACATAAATAAAACACACACACTTCGCCATTTTTTCCCAATTTAAAAATTCATCAAACACAATGGCAAAAATAGTTGTCAAAGTACTTCGAAAATTAAACTAAACAATGGACATATGTTTGGATTAAAAGGTTTAAGGTAATAAGAAATTAAGTCTATTACTGTGAGAGAAAATAAATCAACAACACTTTGCAATGAATGTAAGTTTTAGGGGGAATAAAAGCAACAGATATCACTTTATCAAAATAAATTCTACAACAGAGAACAGAAATAGTCTCTCTTCCCACAGTATCACAAACTGGGTTTTTATAGTTTTTGAAGAAGATAAACTCTTTGAGTGCTTATACATTGCTGGTGGAAGTGTAAATTAGTTCTGTCACTGTGGAAAGCAATTTAGAAATTTCTTAAAGAACTTAAAACGGAGCTCTCATTTGACCCAGTAATTCCATTATTGGGTATATACCCAGAGCAATATAAACTGTTCTACCATAAAGACCCATGCATTCGTATGTTCATCACAGCACTTTTCACAATAGCAGAGACATGGAATCAACCTAGATGCCCATCAGTGGTGGACTGGATAAAGAAAATGTGGTACGTACACCATGGAATATCATGCAGCCATAAGAATGAGATCATGTCCTTTACAGCAACATGGATGCAACTGGAGGCCATTTATCCTAAGCCAATTAACACAGGAACAGAAAACCAAATACTGCATGTTCTTACTTCTAAGTGGGTGCTAAACATTGAGTAGACATGAACACAAACAGGGGAACAACAGATACAAGGACTTCTTAAGGGTGGAGGGTGACAGGAAGGTGAAGATTGAAAAGTTACCTATAAGGTACCATGCTACCACCTGGATGACGAAATCATTTGTACACTAAACCCCAGCAGTATGCACTTTATTCATGTAACAAACCTGCACATGTACCCACTGAACCTAAAACAAAAGTTGGAAGAAAGAAAAAAAAAAAAACTCTTTAAAAACTCTGAACAAACTTTTCTGTTTAACCGATCAGTTGATAGAAGCTTTGAAATATCATTAAATATACAAACCATTGTACTATGACATGTAATTTATTCAGTGTTTCAGGCATTGAAATTATCATAATAGAAAAGAAAAAGCTATCAGTTTCATTATCACAAGCAGTTATCTTTTCTTCTTAGGTGTCTGAATGTATCTTTGAAAGCATATTTTTAAAGTAAAAATTAAATATGTTTACTTTAAAATTTTTCATTAGGCCAACAAATCTAGTCAATATAAATGTGTTACTAATTAGAAGTCAATATTCTTTCTTGAAGGGAAAACTCATATATCTTATCTTTTAATATCTAGAAAAGGACTTTTAAAAAAATTATATAAGGGATAAAAAATTTAATTTAAATAGAAAGTAAATACTATATCCTATTTACTCCCCCTCTAAAATTCCCTACCACTACTAGTTTCTTAAATCTGTCACTTTTATTATCAAGGCTGACATTATTGGCATTGCATTGAATATCCCAAGAAAATCAAAACCTTTAAAGTAGCTAGACAAAGAAGAGTTTTTTTAAAATGTACAAGGTGTGCATTTTTCATTTAAACAGTCTGTTTGTATCTTTTGGGAGGGGTAGGGGTAGATAAGGTGAGAATAGCTCAAAACACTATTATCACCAGGAGAGACAAAATACTAAAATACAAATCAATTTTCAAACTTGAGGTTTTCATTTTCCAGGATTATCCTCATTTTTGTAAACTATAGTGATCACGTTTCTACCAGGTCCATTCATAGGATATTCAAGATAAGAACTTTCTTTTCCATATAATCAGTAGAGATGCTATTGCATTACCAGTCATGCCACCATGCTGCAGCATAAGATTTACAGTTCTTATCTTCTGGTAATGATGCTTCCTGCTCTTCTCTCTCCTTGTACCTATACAGGAAGGTCTCATTCATTACTCTGAGTTTTTAAATTTTAATTTGTCCAGTGATTGTTCTAAATAATCAAAGCCTACAAATGAATCTAACGAATTTATAGTTCAATATTAGGAAAACTATAACTTTAAGTCACCCATATTAGTAGGCTGATAAAGAAAAATCATATAATCTCCACAAATGCTACAATGTCATTTCATAAAACTCAACATATATTTCTGACTAAAAGCAGAAATTCCTAATAAAAACTAAATAGATGGATTATTCCTTTATAAGGCAAAAATAAATACATTCCAAATATACCAAAAACATCCCTTATGTTTGATGGTGAAATCTTAGACATATCCCCCATAAATTCAGATTAAAATATAGCTGAATTCATTAAGCTAAAAATAAAAAGAGCAATTTTGCTAAATCTATAATTTCTTACTCCCTAAATTGCTGGTAGCTAAGGTTAAGAAACACTTTCCCTTGTACTATAGAATTTTAAAACAAACAAACATGAAATACACATTAGACCCCTTATGCCAGTGGGAGATTTTTATATTTTGTGAAACACTACTTTTGATAATTCCATAAAGCCATCTAATAATGGTCTGTGAGAACATTAATGCTATTTCATAAAATGTGTCAATTGTAAATCAGCAGTAGCCTCACTAGTTTGCTTTCTTAGGCTGTTTCTCAGCACTGAATAAAACTCAGTGTAACTCTAGTGGCTAAGACAAGTTATTTGATCTGTTCAACTTCCTGCTTGAGCAGAGTGAAGTAATAAAGTGATTCTGATGGTTTCTTGAAATGTAAACATAATACAAAATTTTCGTTGTGCTATTTTTCTTCTATTTCACAGTCCATAACTACATACTCTGGGCAAAACTACTTCAAAGGAAAAGTTGTAACCCTTTTTATTAGCTCCCCTGAGACAACAGTGATCTGCAGTCAAATTCCAACTCTTGAAATCTCTTTTAAGGCAGATTTATTGGCCAAGTCCCTCTCTAATAGCAACATTAAATGGCAAGTTAAGCATAACTACAGCAAAAAAGCTATCATGAGTATTCCGCTGTAGGCATTAGATATACTATTTGTTGCATGGTGTGTATTTTATCTTTCTGGGAAAGAAGCTCACCAATCTTACATTGGCTTACTTAGACGTCACAGTTTCTCAGCTGCATCTTCTTCCAAGCGAGAAAGATAAAGATATTTGACCACTGTTAGAAAATCTTTTTAGACCTTAAAGGGCATTATAGTCAAGTGTCTCCCAGAAAAACAAGTCAAAGGTAAATAACATGGAGATATATTTGCAAGATATTTGATAAAGATCTAATTTATTTATTAAAGAGGTCTTATGATCAGTAAGAAAAAAAGACCAACAACGCTATAGAAGAATGGACAAAGGTTATCAGGGGAGCAGTTCACATACACACAAAAGAATTTCAAAAGACTCATAAATACATCTATGAAAAGATGCTCTACCTTACTCTTAACAATAAATAAAAATGAAATGCCATTTTCACCTTAGATTGGGAAAGATCAAAAGGTTCGAAAATACAATATTGGTGATGATGTTGGTGAGTGTGTAAACACAGAAGGTGGTGTTGCAATATCTATTAAAAGCACACAGAGCTTAAATGTGACATTCTTAGACTTTCCTTGACCACTATATCAAAAGAGTTCCCCCAATACTGTCTCTAGCCCCTTACTTTCTTCACATCATACTGTAATTTGTAATTTTTGTCTATTGGCTTTTATAAGTCTGTCTCCCTCAGTAAAATGTAAAATTCTATGATGGCAAGGAGCAAGTCTAACTTGTTTCTTGGTTTATCCCCAGTACCAGCCATAGTGCCTAATACGTAGGAAGCACCTGATATTTTCCCTTTGTTTAATACTTCTATTTTGAGGTTAGCATTTCTAGATGACCAAAAGGATTCTTTTTGAGCTAATATTCATCTATTTTCAGATGAATATGCTACAGATATATTGTCCCATATCCACAGAGGCTTTCACCATAGTGCTCTGTGATAGCAAAATATAGAAAAACATCCTAACCATCCAACAAAATATGGTGCTTTCATATAATGGAATACTATAAGGTTATTTAAAAGAAAGGAAGATTCATATGTATTGATATAAAACATCTCCAGGATGTATTAATTGAAAAGAGCAAGGTGTCAATCCTTGTGTATAATGTGGTATAGTTTGTTCTAAAAATCGAAATATGCACATGTAACAGCATGTCTATCACCAACATGCCACAACCCCCTTTGGCAAAAATCTCAAGGTGGTGTGCTCCAGTGTCAGCCATGTCACATCCTGTGGAAGGGTAAAGGTGCCCTTCCACATCACACTGCCCTGCCAGATTCTAGAACCCCATTTCCTCACCTTCATGTCTCTGGGGGCTAATCAGTATTTTGAACTTTGAAATGGGGGTTATTAAAATGAGATAGTTTGGCTAGTGTTGAACTAAAGTCTCAGGGGCCAGGCACATATCAGTGAATGACAACAAAGACCTTTTAATATACCATGAATGGAGCTCACTCTGAAGTTTCCCCAAGACTGGTGCTAGCCAGTCTCTCGATGCTAATTCTTCTGTCCTTGTGGTCCTTCCTGACCTGGTCTCCTCCTCATGAGTTCTACCAACTACCTTATTCTTCTTCTAGTTCTCTCTCTCGTTAGTTCAAATTGCATCATGTTTTAAGTCTCCCACAATTTCTCAGGCCTTGATCAAAGTAAAACATTCCACGGGGGTTCGGGCTGTGAGAAATAGCCTGCCTTTTATCATATTCTGCTGGGAAAAAGTGCAAGGAATATCACATTCTGCGGGAACAAGAGCCAAACTGCCTCATCATGGGAACGTCTTATCAACACATAGTAGTACGTAGCAGCAAGCCACACTGCCCAGACCCCTCCCACCTAGGCCTATAAGTACCCCAGCCTGTAAGCGGTGGTGGGCACTGGCATTAGGCTGCTTCCCCACCTCTGTGAGTGTTATGCTGGATGTAAAGCCTGCATTTCCTGTTGAACTGACCTCTGTGTGTATGTCTTTCTTTAACCCTTGCCTTCCCTTCACAACCTAACATCTGTGTGTGTGTGTGTGAGAGAGAGAGAGAGAGAGAGAGAGCAGGTCTCGCTGTAGATCTCGCTATGTTATTCAGGCTGTTCTTGAACTTCTAGACGTAAGCAATTCTCCCACCTCAGCCTCTGAAAGTGCTGGGATTACAGGCAAGCCATCATGCCTGGGTCTTCTTTTTTTATACCTTATCATTTTCTCTTTCTCTTGCTAGTCTAGGTGGCCCTAATCTACTCAAGCGCTCTGATCGTCATCTTTTATATCTCTTTTCATGAATAAACCCTATATTCTCTTAAATCAGAATTTGGCTAATAGTCAAAGCCAAGCTTTTCTTCAAAATTTTCACTTTTAGCACATGTACTTTTATTATATGTTTTTAAAAAATCATTCAAAACTGTAGTAGGCATTTATTCGTTGTCTATCCCCCTTGCCCAAAATTACCCTGATTTTCAGTCAAGAATCCATTCCTCTACAACTGGTCTATGACTCCAGAGATAAGCCATTCCATTTCCTAAGCAATAACACTTGTTTTGAGTGGGCATGTGACCTGAGCTTATCCCATTATGGTGAATCTCTGGATTCTTGCTTGGATTGGCAACTAAGAAATGTTCTCTCTTCAGAGGTGGACCAGAAAAAAGATAACCAAACTCAGGAGCCTTGTCAGCCCTTTTGTTATATAAGGGAAACCAGCCCAAGGAAAATGACCCTTGGAAAAAAAAGTGGAGAAGAAAGCCAAAGTCCAATTAAAGCCATGCAGAAAATCCATCCTTTGTCTAGACTTTGCCTTTGTAAGAGCCACTAAATCTTTTCTATTTTCCAAGCCAGTCTGTTAACTGAAAGTAGAGGTGTACACTTGGTTGAATCCTTTGTTCTTTCTGGGCTTCTTTTGGTTCCCCTGGGACAAATGAATGGCAAAACAGTCAGAGTAACAGGCAAAAAAAACTTTAATAGCTGTTAACCTTTATGCTGCAACATATACCCTTGTATAAGCACAGAACGTATATTCTGTATATAAGACGCCAAAAAGATATTTTTGGGGGGAAAGGTGTCAGGGGTTAAAGTGAAAGATTCACTTTTTACGAACTATCCTCCTGTAATGGTTGAATATTTTTAAAACCATGTGCACATATTACTTTTTAAAGTTAAAATAACAAAAAAATAAGCTGCTAAAGGTATCTCAAAAGAAGCTTTTCCTGAGGGACTTAGTAATATGGTAAGTACAGTAGCACTGTAAAGCCTTTTAACACTTTCGGTCACATAAAACTTTGTTAAAAGTCCTGCTGCACAACAAACAAGTTCTTACTTGTCATCTTTCCCTTTTGTCTTTTTGTACACCATCTCTCGGAAACTGGCTAAAATTTTATTTTCTCTCTTTCGTCTCTCTTCTTGGTTAAAGGATGCAAGAGCTCTCTTCTCATCAGCACTGTAGATCTGGTTCTCCTTACGCAGTCGTACAGCCTCCATTCTGCGATGCCTGCTGCCACTCATGACATAACCTGAGCATTCAAAAGAAGCGATCTCTTCACTTGTCAACCCAATTTCACCTCTTCGTGGGATTCGCTTTCCAGCTTTTACATACTCAGCCATAGCTGCACCTTCACCGGGGAGCAAAGCATGGCCATAGTTTAAAGGTTTCTCATCTTGAGAGGTATGTATTATAGGTGCTTCTGGCCCTATTAAATCCATAGTATCTGCCATATTTGGCTGCTCCATCCAGGTATCTTCTGACAACTCTTCTGAGTCTTTACAGCTTGAGTCACTGGATTCTTTTTTGGTCTTCTTCTTCTTCATTTTCTTGTATTTTTTTGTTTTGTGTTTCCTTTTCTTCTCTTTCTTCTTGGCTTTAACTCTCTTCTTATCATCAACAGAGTTAGAATTTGTGTCAGAGTCTGAGTTACTGTCACTAACAGAATACTTCCTATGTTTTCTTTTAGACGACTTTTTATTTCTTGTTTTCTTGTTTCTTGAACGACTGGTCTTCTTTTTCCTATGTTCTTCCGAATTGGAATCTGAACCGCTCCTTTTCTGATGCATTATCTCTTCTTCATCCTCACCTGGGTTATGTTCGTCAGAATCTGGCTCAGGGAACTTTGGAGACGGCCCCCACACCTCAGGCGCTCCCAACTCCCCAATCCTCTCTCTCTCCTTCAGCCTCCTCTGCCGATAGTTCTCTTCCTTCTCCTTCTCATAGTCTTCCGCCCACTGCCGTTCTTCTGCATAGTAGTGGTGATGGTAGCGATATCCGCTATACGAGGTCGACGAAGAAGGCGGGTAGGCGTAGTTGCGGAGCCCTGGGGGCAGCTCTCGCGACCCAGAGCGACTAAAGGGGTAAAGAGCGCCCACGTCCGATTCACTCCAAGGAGGCCTGAGGCCCTCACGGCCGCGGGAGTGAGAACGGGAACGACCATCCCCAGAGGAACATCTGCTCCGCGGGGATGGTGGGCTCCCTGAGGAGCTGCGTCGCCGCTTCCGAGAGCCCAGGATGTCCTCGGAATAGCTGGACCGGGATACTGGGGGCATGAGCCGCGCCTCACAGATAGGCGGTTACTACAGACACAGACGCTAGCTGGTGCTTCGCGGCCACGCAGGCGCACTAGAATCGGCCTCCCGTGCACGGCTTCCGCTTCCTGTCACTTACCAAACGGAAAACGAATCCGCGCGTGTGCTGTGAGGCGCGGGCCTTGGCTGCGTGAAGGCTTCTTGTGGGAGGTGGGTAGGATTAGGGCGCACCTGTTTTTAGGGCTTATATTCCCCAACTTGAGCCGTGTGGGAACATAAAAGAACGAATTTGCGTCAATGATTCCCTCTGCTGTTGAAACAACCACTGCTCTTTTTCAATTTCGCCTTTTACCATTTTGCTTATCACGCTTTGTTCTTCCCTTTCATTTTTGCCTCCTTAACTTTACCCCTCTGTGGAAGATCCGTACTACCTACACTCCTCATTTTTTCCTTCCTAAAAAAGGAAGTTGTCCACCCTCTTCATGGAGGAAATATATTTAATCACTTTCCAACCCCCCTTGTTACCACTGGAAGCAAGAAGCAGAACTTCTTTTGGAATCAGTTTGAGCTCACCCTCTAAGCTAGGTGAAGGCCAGGCCAGAGTTGTACTTTTTTTTTTTTTTTTTTTTTTTTTGAGACAGGATCTCACTCTGTCGCCCAGGTTGGGGTGCAGTGGCACGATCATGGCTCAGGGCCAACTTGACTTCCCAGGTTCAAGTGATCCTCCCAACTCAGCCTCCTGAGGAGCTGAGACTGCAGGTGCCTGCCACCACGCCAGGTTGACTTTTTAATAATTATCTGTAGAGACGGTTGTCACTTTGTTTCTGAGTCTGGTCTCAAACTCCTGGGTTCAAGTGATCCTCCCACCTCAGCCTTCCAAAGTGCTGGAATTACAGGTGTGAGCCACCATGCCCGGCCCATAGTCATGATTTTAATTATTAAATTCACAGACTTTTCCACACTAGAAACACACAGAAGCATCCCACTCGATCTTGTAGACAGATGTCTTTCTATCTAGGGAGATTTCTTCAGAAACTGTAGTTTGGAAACCACTTTCTCAATACACATTAGATCTCACTCTTAGAAATGACAAACATTTTATGCAAGATCATTTATCCCTCATCTTAAAATGTAAATAGGCATTAACATCATCTTGGTTCTCTCTAATTAAGTTGATCTGCTCAGTTGTTTGACAGCCAGGTCAAAACTTAAGAATGATGTCTTCCTGATGCTAGAACTCTAAACAACAAAATCAGGGAAATTAAACTGAATAAGACCAAATTATATCATTTGCTCTAAGTAGAATTTTAGTAAATTTGATTGAAGGGGATAAGAATTGGTTCCATGCATAAATTTAGGAACTGGTAAACAGCAGGGAGTATTATATGTGAATGGTCACATGTATAGTGAAAATACATGGATAGGGTGAGTACTATAGAGTTTGTGTAAGTAAAGAAAATTTTCTTTTGGAGTTATAAACTACTCGATAGGCCAATGAAATGGATATGTCTTACTTGGATAATTGTAAATTTAAGCCATTTCATATCTGTTGTAGACTTGAATTAACAAGCTGATTGATGAAATACTTCTTTCAGGTAGCACACAGGAAAATTAAAGTTAGAATATATTTTTGATCTTTAGAAAAGTTATGACCTAGACTAGGGGCTGGCAACCCTTTTCTGCAAAAGGCCAATAGTAAATATTTTAGGCATTGTGGGCCAAGAGGCAAAATCGAGGATATTATTACATACTTTTTTAAAAAACAAAATGTACATTTATTTTAAAGGATAAAGTATAATCAACAATTTGTTCAAATTTTCCAAGGAATAGATAACTTTTTAATTTTTATTTTTAAGTTCTGGGATACATGTATAGAGAGTGCAGGTTTGTTACATAGGTATACACATGCCATGGTGGTTTGCTGCACCTATCAACCCATCATCTAGTTTTAAGCCCCACATGCATTAGCTATTTGTTCTGCTGGTCTCCCTCCCCTCCTCCACCCTCCACAGGCCCTGGTGTGTGTTGTTCCCCTCCCTCTGTCTTGCGTTCTCATTGTTCAACTCCCACTTACGAGAACATGCAGTGTTTGGTTTTCTGTTCCAGTGTTAGTTTGCTGAGGATAATGACTTCTAGTTTCATCTGTGTCCCTGAAAAGGATATGATCTCATTCCCTTTTTATGGCTATGTAGTATTCCATGGTGTATATTACATACATATAACAAAAGAAAAAGGACATTTTTTTGATGCAATATAATTATATTATTATTCAAACTATAATTGAGAATTTTGTAATGCATATTCTTTTTTCTTTCTTTCTTTTTTTAAATTATGCTTTAAGTTCTAGGGTACATGTTCACAACGTGCAGGTTTCTTACATATGTATACCTGTGCCATGTTGGTGTGCTGCACCCCTTAACTCATCATTTACATTACATATATCTCCTAATGGTATCCCTCCCCCCTCCCCCCACCCCATGACAGGCCCTGGTGTGAGATGTTCACCACCCTGTGTCCAAGTGTTCTCATTGTTCA